TTTTCAGCAAAGGTTGTCAGATATAAAGCGTTTGACTTTAACATTACTTCTTTCTTACTTCAGCAGTTTAAAAACATACGCTTATTTAACTTATTTGCAGATATCCGATAACGTCAGTCAACGTGGTCACAGCAATTCGACATTTTATTTTATTTATTTTATATTTTATTATAGCTTGATTCCACACAGTATTTTGGTACAAGTATGAAATTTTCAGCATGTGATATCGGTAGCCCAAATTTAGCAGGCCGACCATAGATATCGGGTGTGCGTTGGCGGGGGATCGAACCTCGGAATATGTGCATGCTCGGCGAGAGTCCTAACCGCTGTGCCACCGACGCACAACTGTGTAAAGACATATGCTTATTATTTTTCATTAAATACATTTAACATCCTGCTCAACATACTTTTCTTATTCTAACTGAGGGAAACTAAATTTGTTGGAATGATGAGGCTGATGTCAGACATATCAGTGATATTTGATGAAGCATTTGACTTGAGAATTAGTCGTAAGCGGAATGTTACTACGACTGCTACAGCTCAACCTACTTATTTATTCGCCACGTGTAAAGTTCATTTCACACTACACGTTAACACCCGTAGTCCCAGGAACTGACATAACGCTTTAATTAAAATAATAGTGATACACTGCTTTCGAATACACCTAAAAGCATACCAACTGGAACCGCAATGCAGTGCCTAAGTTCCGCCTATTGTTGCCATTGGTCCCTACAGACTTGCATATGACTCTGGGACGTTCTCACATAACTTTAGGCAGAGACTTAAGATTCACTAAACGGAAAATACCCATTGAGTCATGAAGAAAATAAGACACATTCAGCGAAGAAAATTTTCTTTATCGACGAAATCCACGACGAAATTTCGTCAATAAAGAAAATTTTCTTCGCTGAATGTGTCTTTTATTTTCTTCATTCCCTAAACTGCTTATAATTCACCACATATATCGATCGATAGTGTTCCTACTTAACTACACTTAAGTATAGTAACGAGTTCAAGTCCTAGGGAGCACCGGTCTAGCATGCCGTGCTCACAAATGGAACACATGAATCGAAAGACAACAAGATTTATATGGAAGGTTCATACTTATTATAATACGACATTAGTTTATTTATATATTAGGAAGACGTTCAATATCTGCGATAACTTTTCCTGCATAGTTTGCGGCAAAGATCTCTCCAAATTTGTCAGTAATTCTCGTCAGGCCCGCATTTATAAGCCTCCGATTGGTTTTCAATATATCACATGTATTTCGAGGGACAACTGCTGATATGCTTTGAGACGCAGATCAACCTCCACTCTCCTCCCATTGTCTTGGAAGAATACATAATCGAAAGCTTCAACCTCAACAGAAGCCCATCGCCGCTTTTCGTATTCACTTTCCTCGAGGCGTATGGGGTCAGCAGTCGAAGGATTGGTATTAGACGTGGTGAACAGGAATATGTGAGGCATCGCGACCGAGCAATCATTGACTCCTGCTGAATTCTTAAATAACTTAGTTGGCACCACTCATAAACCTTAAGCATGCTTTTATGCAGACTGTCTGACCTTTGCAAGTAACGTTTCATTCGCTTGTGTAAACTTTCTACTCGATTATTAGTAGCATTACCAAAAGTCAGCACATGGTCTCTGAAAGATGCTGCCCACAATTCTCGTCAGCTCATCCGACGACGTTGTATATATTGACTAACACTAACAGCCAATCTGCTTATAACTCTGAAGTAGAAATTAAATCTGGAAAATGAGAATACTAAAGGCATTACTCTGGTCTACTTTTACACAGAACCAAGCGGTACAAATAGTTCTTCACAATGGGATTCCGTGTCTGTAATTAAAATTTCGATTATGTTTTAAAAAGTTTACTTTACGACAAAATTCTAGACAAACATGGAAAGAACACAGAACAATGTGCGCTTCTCTGTTCGTTAACTTCACTGCTGCTATTTCAGATTGCGCACGGTCCATAATGAAAGTTTCCGTTTTAGAAGTATCTTCCATTATTTGACGAAATGCGTCCAAAATCCAAACTACATCACATTTGAATTCCTTTCTAGTCCAAGCAAATAAGACTGGTCGACCACGACCAAAATTATCCGTCACAACTAATTGGAACAAAGAATACCTGCATGTTGATTAATGAATTGGTAAACTTACTTCCCTTTATTTGTATTATACGTAGAGTCGATACCGACAACCTCCTGCAACTGTTTATACAATTCAACTGGCTCATAAGTTGAAAAACAGACTCTTGTTAGGAAATTTCTGATCGATTTATCTGAATAATACTCCATTAACTTCCCAAGGGATTTCAGGAATTGAAAAATGTCACTACGGCTCGACATACCTAAAGTAATTAAAAATTACGTCAACATTGCATTTATTAACTGCGGCTTTCATATTTTTAACGTCAATACGAGTTATGTCCTTGTCGAATTTTTCCTTCACATGCATCATTATTTCATCTGATGAGCGAGATTGCTGAAGAAGTGGTTCCACGTTTTCTTCGTCTTCCACTGTTGGTCGTCTAGACCATGGGTCATTCTGCATGTACACCCTGCTGTATGGATGGTTATGCACCACTTTGTGAGAAGTAATTACGTATTCACTACAATGCAAAACCACGCGTAATGAAGACGGAAAATTGCAACATTTAGACCTAGAGTATTCATAATATCATAGTATATTTCTTCTTACGACTTGTTTCTCAATTTCAAGCCAGCTTTTCCACAATGCACTCCAAAAGTGCATTTAAAACCAACATAAGCATACTTAAATCTGTCATCCGCTACTGTTTTGCTATAAATATGAACATAGTGAGTGGAGGACAACTACATTGCTAGCATTAAATAACTTCCTCACTTTTTGGAATTCCCTAATGATTCCTCAAGTTCCTTCCAGCTGAAGAAACCCCTTCCTAGCATTAATTCACCGAAAATTCCGCTTACGTCTGCGCTGCCGTCACTCGCATTCACTATCTGCAATGAACTAAAATGGCTTTGTCAATTAGTATCCATCTATGTCACAACTATTTCAAGATAATTCCGTAAAAAAGCAGTATTGAAATACATGACTGATCAACATCCATCAAGAAAATACCGCACGTATAACATAAATTCTACAAAAGCACAATAACCCACGGGTTCGTTGACATCGCAAGCAACCGTTAGGTCAAACAACGGAGTGAATGACAAACCAACCCTGGTACAAGCACAATTAAAGAAAAATCGAGCGTTAGAATAGTCAAAATTTACATTTATATTCATCACATCTGCTGGCAAACAATGCATGACGCAAGCACACAAGGCTGCACACGATATCACCTACCAAGGACCAATCAAATATCAAACTGACCGCCACTGTTCTAGCCAACGAAAGACGAGAAAACCTGGGGCGCGGAAAATTTAAACCGTTATAACGTATATCCTCTCCCAAATCGACTTCAAGCTTTATTTTTTCCTAAATATTTGTAATCTATCTAACACATACTTGGGTTTTTTTGTTAATGCGTAGACAATATTTCTATATTTTTTAATGTGCTCCATTGAATGACTAGTTAGCAGATTGTACTCACAAACTAATGTCAGAATGCACCGAGACCAAATAACTTCACCATAAATCAAATTTATGCAATTCAAATAATACTTATCCATGCCTGTACAACCGCTGTGTCCTACATAGATAGGAATAAATATATGTTATATTAACTGAAGTGACTCATAGTTTCGCTCCTGAAACACTTTCCAGAGAGAACGTGCGGGTGAGAGTAGCAAAGCAAATTTTTGGGTTCGGTATCCTAGATTGTGTTGTAGCAAATTATCTAGTGAACAAGCCTTGACTATGAGAACCTTTCTTACTGCATCTCTTTTTTGCTCCAGGCGCCACAAAAATCAGGCTTTTTGTGATAATAATAGTATATTCTCATTTTTGTACATGAGGGACGCCAGTTTACAGGCATCATCAATTCGATAAATTACACATACGAATAGTAAGTATAGTTAGTAATGATAATATAATAAGGTACATATTTATTCCTACAAATGTAGGACACACAAGTTGTATAGGCATGGATAAGTATTATTTAAGTGACATATTTAAATTACATGATTTACGGTTAAATAACATGGTTGCTGTCATTTTATCTTCAGTTTGTGGGAAAAATCGGATAACTGGTGATTCAATGGAACACATCTAGAAATATAAAGATATTGACTCCGAATTAACAAAAAAACCCAAGTATGCTTTGGATGGATTACAGATACTTGGGAAGATAAATAAAGCTTGAAGTCGATTCCCTCATAAAACAATGCGTCTTACAATAATATATTCCAACTTTATGCACATGATGGACTCCAGATGACAGGCATCATCAATATGATAATAATGCACACATGGAGTAAACATGTTTAAAATTTTTCACTAACACAAGATATATATACAAGGGAAGATAATGACGAACAAGTTTGGTCATGGGATTTTAGCTTAAAATACAGTTAGTGAGCTGTTTCCACTATTCACAATCTCGAATAAACAACAAAGGTACGTAGTAAGAGAATACTAAAAATCTTTCGTAAAAATTGTTGACAGGAACTTGGGTTCTCCAACCACAAGCCTCTGGAGGATTCCAAAAACCATCTATTCTGGTTGAATGAAAGTTTTAAATAAGCGATATCAGGTGTATGGCAGCAAGAACTTAAGAACTGTGTGAAGACCATCAAAACTAGCAAACTGCTGTTCAGAATGGTTAAAATAATGTGACATGTATGAATTCCAATTTCTGCATCAATTGGTTTGTATCAAGATGATGGAGTTAACAGTTTCAAAGGATAACCTAAAATATGATATGACTTATGTTTCACTTCTGAGGAGATAAGGAAGAATTTTTATGAACCCTTAGAATCTTAATCTAAATTAGGAATGTGGATCTACTGGGAAGTAAACCTTGATAACGGGCGGGCAAATTGATAAATTTCCCTCCTCCCTAAATGAGTGCCTCTGGTGAGGATAAGTCGAATTCAGGTAAGCATTAGTAAGAGGTTTTTTTAAAACGTGTTAGACACAGCACCATATATCACAGTAATTTTCTTTCATTCACTCAGCATTTTATTAGGTACCATGTGATTCCAGTGGTTATAACCACTGAATTGTATACAATTCAGATTAAGGTGGTACGATTCTCATTTGGGACAACATTAGAGATTCAGAATTGTTAAAGACTTATGCGTCAAATAGTATATGGGGTTCATTCAAAAAGCAATATAAGACTGTATAAAGGTTTAATGAAATAAGTTTCTTGTACTTCAGACGTAATAATTTTTATTCATCCTTTGGATTTTGCATGAAACGTGGGGGTTCAGCAATGCATCCTTATTGTATTGAGTTATCTAGAGTCTTTGGGAGGCCCTCTGGTTGCCTTCAGTTTTTCATCTCCCTTTCAAATGGTTTCCACCACGTTACGCTCAAACCCATGCCCGTGTTATAGTTACCTATTTGGATTCCACTCAAAGGTCTGCCACTTGATGTCACTTTAACGTCTACCCAGTGTTTGTCCGCTGCATAGTCATCCATTTCTACGTATGCGTTGGACGATTTGTTCTTGGCTGTTTCGCTGCAATTCCATGGTTCCTTGTTCCTATTACTATATGGCTTGCTATCTGATCTTCACTATTGAAGGGAAGTACCTGTCTATAAAAGTCTCAACAGCCTGTTGGAAGTGATTCCGTTGACACAAGAATCATGTTGAAGTACTGACTTGATATTAGTGTTAAGTATACGAATCTTATTCCTTGTGGTGAGTGTTTTGGGTCTTCACACCAATTTCCCCTGGCTTTCCTAACCCTTTTACTGGCTGTTTTTAAATCGTCTCCATTCGTACCGACTACGTTTAGTTTGTATGGTGCCTCCTATCTAGTTGGGCCAACTATACGGTTTACTTCAGATTTCTCCCGTGAATATTGTTTGGTGTTTGTTGTTATTGGTTAGCTGTCTTCATCACGTCCGTCGTCTCCACGCTCGTCTGAACAAAGTCGTGCCCTCGTCCCTACTTCTGCCAGATTGTTAAATTTTGCTGGCGCTTCTTCGAGTCAGTGAAATTTTGAGGCAATTCATGAAATCACCGAGCTGTTTTAACCTCATAAAGTAGGGGGTATCTGGTCCAGTGAATGTTGGTTAACTGAAGCAATGAAGCTCATTACAAAATTGTAGGTCTACCATCGGTTATTTTATTTTCAACGTAGAACTTCGGTCAGAAGTGCGGCTATTCATTTAGTCACACCATGTATTATACAATGGTAAAGAAAAGGAAAAAATCAAATGAACAATGAACAGAAGTTACCGGGGAAAAGAGTTGTAACGTGGAAGATCGTGATGACTTGATGGATATACTAGATTACAAAGAGTCAATGTATCTGTGCCACTGAAAACAATTTTGAGATGAATCACCAACAGTCACTTCAGTGGTTCTTAGCATCTTAACAACCCCCAGCAGATAATCTGCATCTCATTAATGAAAGTCGAAGACTTCATTGATTGACGACAGCTTAATCCTATGTCGACCAGTACTGTCCTACAAGAAACAGTCCAAATTACACCTGGTTAGTTTTTGATGGAAAAATTAGTGTTCTTGTGCTTCTTAGTATTTCCAAAATCTGTCAAAGTTCTAGTAAATAACGCTCCTTCAGTTTTGATGAACGAAACCATTTTAAATGGGGTGTTTAATCCATTGAGATATCACTCCTTAGCCGGGTTCCTTGAAACGCCATGAACTAATAGCTATAGACTGTCGTTGTCATGGCTCAAAATCATTCTGTGACAGACGCATTCGTTCTTCATGAATTCCCATATCCATTTAATTCTCATTATTCTGTAGTGTAGTCTTACTAAAATTTCTGTTGCTTGGTCATCTTTAATTCTTAATTCTAATAAAGTTAATTATACAGTTTTTCAGTATAGTGCAGCAGACTAGTTTGAACATTAGGTTAGTGTTATTAATCACAGATGTTAAGTTATATGATGATTGAATTTTTACCCCTGTTGATTATCATAAATTTCACTTTTTCTTGAAATGTCTGAGGGATATATTCAGTCTTGTAAACACTTTTGATGTTCATCTCATAGTTGAATTTCTAATTTATTGTATCCATCCAAATCAGTTTAACTCCTCTCTTTTTTCTGCTATTCCAGACTTTTGTAGAGTATGCCGGTGTGAGGGGACTGCAACCAAACCTCTGTTCCATCCTTGTTTGTGCACTGGTAGTATAAAATATATTCATCAGGATTGGTAAGCACATATAACTTCTTAGTATTTTAGAAGGCCCTTACATTTTGATGACTAAGATTATTTTCAAATAATTATTTTCTAACTGATGACGCACAACACTGCTAGTGAATCTAGTATTCAGTTTGATGCACTTTGGTCTGGGCAACAGTGATACATTCCCAGGGCTGCGAAAACTATTATGACCAGTTAACTGCCACAAAAATTTACATGGTTACTCACTTGTGGATACCGTTTTATTGTCTCTTACATGCTAATTTTTTGTCATCTTTAGTCTTATAATTTGACTTTCAGTCATTGGGTCCTGAGTTTTTTTCCCACCCCAGAAAACTACGTCTTGGAGACTGGATAACACCAGGAATTTTCTGCAATGTGTGGTTTATAACCAGGTAACCAGACGATTGGATACTTTAGTTATGAGGTATTCAAATATTTTTCTCTCAAAACCACTTGAAGTTGAACGAAACTTAAATTTCAGTGTAAAACTTCGCACGAACGTGCACCAGTCCAAGTTACCAAACTTTGTAAAAGCGCATGTTTAGGTAGAGGAACACAGGAAAGTATAATCACATTAAGAATAGTGTGAATTTAACGAATTTAAATCATATTCCAGAATTTGAATGACTTCAATAACCTCCTTTCTTTTGTCCGTCTCACCCATGTTTGTCTATCTTGTTTATGTCCTCCTATTTTGTTTGCTTAAATTAGAGCTACTTAAATTGAAGCACTTTTGCGTAAAACATCCATTAGTTGGTCAAATATTGCCCAGTGTATCGCAAACCTAATACTTCAGACAACAACTTATACTTGCCACCATATAATGCTTAATGTCTACTCGTCTGGTTACAGTTAACGGCTGGAAAACTCACTGGTTTCAACGTAGAACTTTGCACACAACTGCAACAGTTCGAGTTGCTACACTCCATGTAACACACAAAGCATAAGAAGAGAGTAAAAAGAGATTCAAAAGAGAGATAATAAACAGAAATGAGGCAAAAAGAAAAGCAATATGGAAGAACAATAGAATTTATTGCATACTATAAATCACAAAGAGTGAATGCATCTGCGCCTTTGAGATTAATTTTGAGCCATGTAACCAACCGCTCGTTTTTATCATCCGGATGACCCCAACTAGTCAGGCAGTCTACACCTCCCTACGTGGCTATCTTAAACTATTTGTTATGGATTTCATTGATTGATGAAGCCATGTGTTGGTTTGACTACCACTATCTCTTTTCCAACTTGATCCATCGTATATCAGCTAACATTGCCCATCGGTCGAGGAAGGCGATAGATGATGGCTAGGCATGCCTAACACATGTCCTAACCATCTCAATTGATGCAGCTGCTTCACAACCTGATCGACTGATTTCCCATCCTTACGTAACACTCAACCGATGCCTAAGCTCGATATTGCTCACCTTATTATATCACCTGACATGGGAGATAGAACGGAGGCACCTATGATCAAAGACAGCTAACCTTTTCCTATCTTCCGCTCTTAATGGCCATGTCTCACTTACAGCCACAACGGAGGATAGGGCGAACTGTTGAGCAGTACACGCGTCCTTTGATCGTTAGCCAGTCAGATATCACGTCTACTAATCCAGAGATAGCGTAGGTTGACATGTGCCAAAGGAGCCTTCTGAATCCCTGCTGAGAATTTGACAGCGATCTACTCGCTGGCACTGGCTGATACAACTCCGCAAATAAGAGAAGTGCTCAACAAGCTCAGCCACCAGTTCACTCCCTATCTCTAAGCTAGGAGTCAATGTAATCTAATTCTGAAGCATCATCTTACGTTTGCCAGAGGGAGTGAATCGCATGCGAAACACTCGGAGATTTTTTTCTCAAGGTGTTCAGAAGACTGCATTTTTTCAGTTTCGGGAGCAGGACTTTGTCATCCGTATATTCTAAGTCGACGAGACTATTCTCTTGTAACAAGTCAATCCCTGAGTCGCTGAAGTGAGTTAGGATTAATTCCATCAGTAGTACACCTGTGATGAAATTGAATAGGAATGAGGACAATGGGCATGCCTGACGGACAAAACTGGTTGTCTCCACTTCAGATGACATCTCTCCGTAAGCTCTCATCTAACTGACTGTATGGGTTCGAGTAGAGTGAGTGCGTTAATCAGTGTGATGTATTTTGCCGGCATCCCCTTCACAGCTAAACATTGCCATAGTAGCTCTTGGTCGACGGGATCGAATGCCACCTTCAGGTAAAAAAATGTGGCAATTGTTGGATGCCGGTAAGTATGTCTATGTTCCACAATCTGTCGAAGGATGAAGATATGATCAATACACCCTTCTCCTGGTCTAAAGCCTTCCTGGTTCTCTCCTATTTGTGCCTCCCGAGCACCGCTTAGTCTACGCATGATTATTGAGCCTAGAACTTCAGATACCGTATTGGTCAGGTTAATCTCCCCGTGATTATCACAGGAAGACTTGTCTCCCTTCTTGTATATCGGGATAATCAGTGACTTACACCAGGTCGATGGGACTATCTCCTATCCCCAGACACTGCCTAATAACTTAGTGGACTCAGACAGTAAACTGTCTCCGCCGTCCTTGAACACCTCTGGAGTCATTCGATCAGGCTCCACTACTTTGCCTCGTTTCAGATTAGAGACAGCTTTTGTAACCTCAGTTATATATCCCATTAACTGGTGAAGAAAGCCTAGCAATACCGACAAATAATAATTCACTTATATCTTCTTAACTTTTAGTTATTTACGTAAAAAAAATAATCAGCGTATCATTGACACATGTCTTCGTAATTTCTGTATACGTTTTAGTCTTGTTCGTTGGCTTGAATATAGTAAAAGAAATACCTGTGAGTTATGCAATCATCAGTTTACATTTAAGCGAATTTACGCCTCCGGGACACCGCGATTTTTACCACCAACTGTTTTGATTTGTGGATTGGCCAACAGCTTGCGTAGATTTTTACTAAATTGGATTCATCTGTCAATTGTTTTCACTGCTTGGCTAATTGTGGTTCCTTTATCTGCATGTCGTATGTATCGATGCCTTTTTACAGGCAGTGTTTTCTCACTGTTGACGCTCCCATTAGATATGGTTTCTACAAAACACTTATTTCAAGACTGTATTCAGGTAAGATAACATTGTATCAAAAGTAACATAAACTTAATTGAAGGTAATTTTCCTCTTTGACCTCCCCCTTTGTTCTAATATTTCAGTACTGAATGTCTGTGAAGCTCACTTTTTGGCATTTCGTATTATTAAGAAAAGCATAGCATTAATCCAGACGACCTGTTGATATTGGTATTAGTCAGGTGCACGGGTGTTGATTTCTCAGTCGGGTTTTCTGTAATGTTCAAAATGATTGGTTAACTTCATAGGCTTTTAATAATTGTAGTAATGAATTTGAATCACAACAACTAAGATACTGGTCTGTGTATCGTAATCCAAAATACTTCATCAGACTGGTGTAAACCACAAGATGGAGTATACTACTGGTTGATTTGAGTAGTTCATTAACCACGTAACCATGTAGATTCAGCTCAAAAGACTGAACATTTCAAACCACCCGGACTATGACTGGCTGCATATGTAAACTGGTAACATGTGGAATCGAATCCTCTTTTTTACAAATTACAGAAGTAAAACTTAAGCACAGTTTGCTGTGGAAATTGGTGTATTTAAGATAACAGTGTGTGATCTGCTTGTTACCGTAAGTGGCAGTCAAGAAGTCAGGCCCAATAGCAAGATGGTACTACTGGTTGGTGAGTGAATTAGAAAACTTTTATCTTTCTAAATAAGAATAAATGTTTAGAGACTCTTAGCTCAAAATCATTCACAATGTTGCAAGTGTAGTAGCTTATCATCATAGAGTTTCGGAGCTTCACATTCCCACTTATGTTCATCGAATATATGGTTTCTCAAAATATGGTAACCTTTAGTCACCACTTCTGTACAAAGTTCTACATCAATTTATTACTAATGGACAATATCAATCCCACCTTATTTATTTGTTATTTTGACTGACATTTTGTTGAAATTCACTTTCTAAAGATGTAACAGATTGTTTCAATAAAATATGTACTCATAAATTGATTAAATGTCAGTATTGCATTTCATGTAATATTACTAGGGTTTCATAATCGTGATTTTCGCTCTGGCTGCATTTTTGGGTTATGTATCATTAAGAGAACAACTTCTTCAAGGAGCACCAGCCTGGTTGGAACGTGATGCTCGTGCAGGTAATTGTGTGTTCAGTGCAAACAGTTCATATCAGTTTCAATTTTTTTTAACCACCTACATCATATGTGGTGTCATTCTTACTCGACACCTACGTGTATGATTGATTATATGTGTAAATGAATTTGAGCTTAAAATTATTGTCTATATTTTTCGACGAATTATTTTCAAAAGCTGTTCAATCGTATTTATATATCAATAGAGAATTCATAGAACCAATCAGATACTGGTTATTATGTTTTAGGTGTATTAAGTATTGTGAGGTATAATCTGGGAGGGAATAGATGAGGACTGAGAAATGGAAGTTGACAATTCGTAGTAAATGTAGAAACCGAACTTATCAATCTGAATGTACAGAAAGGAAAAAGGCTAATGGAAATACGGCAAGTGTTTTTATAAAGTTTGGGCGAGGAATGCAGTGTTATTGATGAACGACGATAGTTATGATAATAATAACAACTAGAAATTAATATAATACATATAGTGCCGGTTTCAGATCCAAAATAGATAATGATTCAACGTATCCGAAGTCGTTTCGTGCGATATTGAGGAACTCTTTGTACCGCTGTGAAGTAGTTAAGAAGGAGTGCCCGATGTCCAAAGTTGACAAGGTTTTCTAGGATAGAGCTGCTAGTATTCCTCTCTTCTCCTCTGGCTAGCCAGGCTGGAGAGTGTTCTAGAATAAGTTTGTGGACCTGACGTTGTGTACAGCCTATAAACCTTACTCTACACGAACAATTATGGGTAGCCAAAAGCGGTATCCTATCCTTAACGTTTGACTCGATTAACTGTCTACTGGAGAATGTGATACGTAAGTCAGCAGCTTGATATGTCTTCTTATGACATTTAGAAAAGCTGTTTCTAAGAATTTCTTCTTCAGTGTTAGCTTTGAATTTTAGTTTCATGAAGAGAGTTTTCTTAGGAACACTTGCGATTTTCGGCGACATATTTTACTTTCATGCTTTTGTCGGTAAGTGGGTGAGCACCCGTTCTCCAGTAGAGTTTCGTGTAGTGATTTTAATTCATTCTCCATCTTATCCTCCGAACAGATTTTTCGAATCCTTAAGCATAAGGTACGTACTAGTTTTTGCTTTCGGATCAGTAGGAAGATGCTTGTGAAGTTAATAAATTGCCCGGTCCATGTTAGTTTGTGGTAGAATGATCTTTCGATTGAGTGGTTCTCTCTTCTGGTAAGTAGTACATCCAGGAATGGAGACAGTATGTTTCATTTACATTCTAAGGTAAATTTTGTTGATTAATATGCTGCGTTGAAAGTTATGAGGAGATTAGAGTACATAAAATTTTTCATCGCAAATTATAAAAGTTTTATAAACGTATCCTCCTGTAGAGGTTCAGTTAACTTATCAAAGGATCAAGAATGTTATTTTTAAGACTCGCCTTGAAACAGTCAGCTAAGAATAAACCAAGAAGAAATCCCATAGTCACACCATCTTTCTGTATGTAGAATTGTTCATTGAGTTAGAAGTGAATATTACACGTTTATGTTGTAAGTAATTCCTTCAGGTAGCTGATGGAAAGAGGAACGTCTAGGTTGTTGGTTTCGATGTAGTCGCAGCAGATGAAGCATATGGTTTCAGTCAAATAAATGCTTGTAAACAGAAAGGTGACATCTAGAGAAAGTATTTTTCTTTCAAATCCATTGATATCTTTCGCTGAATCGATGAAATCAAATGTATCATTAAAGCTATAACTTGTCGAATGTCTGCTTACTGGTTCAAGAATATCCTTTAGGCACTTCGCAATCTGATGATATGATGAGTTAACCGTATCTATAATAGATTGAAGTGGCACATCCTTCTCATGCACTTTGAACAATCCATAAAGTCTTGGAATAATTGAACTGCATGATTTTATTTATTCATATTTATTTATTTATTCAATGACTGAATCTTCTTTTATTTTATCAGCCATTTTGTAATAAGGTTTTCTGTTCTTTCTGGTTAGGTGATTTGAAGAATTTGGTATTGTACAGTAGTAATTTTGTTAATTTTTGACAATCTGATTTGCTCATTACTGCAATTCCATTGCCCTTATCAGGGCGGACGAGGATTATATCTTGGTTTTCTTGGAGTTGTTTAAGTTGTTTTCTGTGTTCCTTCGTTAGCAGGTGACTATAACTCGGTCGTACACGCATGTACTTGTAGCAGCTATCGACAACTGAAGCTTTGAATTGTTTGAGATCTTTTTCAAAACTAGATGACAAATCAAGTGTCTGCGAGATTAAATTATCGAAATGGAGTTTTTTCTGTAATTCGTCGATTTTGCTCGTTACAATGGAAACTTTTAGACCAAGTGCCAGGACTTGGACTTGGATGGCAGCGAGAGGAAAATTTGAAAAGTTAAAGACATATGTTTCAGGATTCTGTGAAAACTATGAGATAGTTTCAGACTTTTTGTTAATTGGGAACTGGTATCTGCGCAACACTTTTGTTTCTCAGCAGATAGGTCGTACAAAGCATGGGTTGTTTGTGATGTGTTGCGTCCAAGTTCAGGTAGATGTGAGCGGATGATGTCAGTGTAATTTAATGTATGACGTTTTAATGTTCTCGAGTAAGGGCAAGTGTGATTCCGGTGGGGATTGTTCCAATAGTGTTTTGGATACTCATTCTTATCCATGCATTGTTTTAGAAAATGAAGCTCTGTGTTAACTTCAACAAGCCTGACAGAGAAACGCAGGAATTTTTCCAATTCCCTTACTTTCACAGGACCTTTAGAATTCTTTAATGAACGCAATAACTCTTCAAAACTTTCAACGTGGCACACTAATCGACAAAATTCACCCTAGAACGTGATCCAAACATCCCGTCTCCATCCCTGGATGTACTGCTTACTGGAAGAGAGGACTACTCGATCGAAAGATCATTCTACTGCAAATTTATATGGACCGGACCGAAACTCTACTGGAGAACGAGTATTCACCCAAATTTATCGTCAAAAACATGAATGTATAACCTCCATTGCCGAAATTGCAAAGCACTTAATACATTTACCCACCCTACCATGGCCAGAGTTATGTTCTTACCATAATATCATAGTAATAACAATAATAGTGAGCTTTGGCATCAAACAGTGAAATGAAACAAAATCTTAGCAAGAATATAACCCTGGGCATGCTAAGGCAAGTGAGTGTGTGCAGTGCTTTTGAACTCAGTCTCTCAGCCTCGGGTTTCGAATAGCCAATGTTTTAGCTTCGCTTAAATGACATATTCAAAGTCTTGTACGAAATTCCAAAACTGTGGATTATTTATGAAGCATTTAAGGTCTTCTGCCCGATTTTCAAAGTTGACCTCTCCAGGCTGGGCAATGTTCTCAAATACTTATACGGATCTCACATTGCATAAGAGTGATAAATTTTGTCGCAGAGGAACAAGTAAACTAATAAATACACATTGGGGTGATCAGAAACCGTATCTCGTTCTCAAGGTATAATTTGTTGAGAAAGAAATTTTCATCAGTGTTATTTTAACTTTTTGTGATTCAAAGTATGGTTTTCAGTTCATATCATCTATTCACCTACACCTTATGTTTAGGTCTGCGTACGTACCGAAATTTCTTAATCACTAAGAAATTCGACTTGATGTGCCGAGAAGGACAATAAAAGCTTAGATAATTAAATCAGCCATTTATATATATATATATATATATATATATATATATTGCTTTAGTCGCGTTTCTACATAGGTCAAATGTTTTGTAGTATTGACTGGTAAATTAAACTAATTACTATGGATAGAACTCTGAAACATTAAGTCATTCTTCATCAGCCTTTGTTAATCCATTTTCTTTTTAAAATCACTATGTCGTTTAGTTAAAACATACAAAAGAGTCATCTCGCCTCATTGTGGATAAATACATTTTTATTGGGCACAAATCCATATCATATCAATAATGTTTTATCGAAATGTTCATATTAAAACTTTTTTACTGACTATTCTTTTTGTGTCTCTGTTCGGATAAAACCCTATTAAGACGAAAGTGACATGGATGCTTGTATGATGCATCATGTGGTGTTTTTTAAGTGTACATACTTGATATATTAATAACTAACTGGTATGAAATAAATAACCATTAGAAAGCCGAAAGCTTTAGTCTTTATGTTCCCTAACTTGAACCGTGAACAGCGTATCAATTACTGTTCAACAGTGGTTATTTTGGCAACAGCAGTCTTTCATCAGATTGACTACTATGATTTGCTTACATTAATAATGCTTACGATTCCACACGTTTCAGAAGCGCGTGCTGCTAATGCTCCTGCAGGTCACGCTGGACGACCTTTCTTTCCGGATCTCTTTAATATTTTCGGCGTAGCAAATGGTGGCTTAGGAGCTGCAGTTTTTGGGGAAGGAAATGAAGATCCTGCTGAACCTCAGGTCTTCAATAATGATATACAACGTGACCAGACGTTACAACAAGATGATGTTGTAAATGCCGATCCCACTCCAAGTTCGTCTTCCAGTCTAATCTCCTCTGTTATGAATCAAGAAGCACCAGTTGTTGATGTGTCGGAGTCATCAACAACAATATCCGGAGTAACAGACACTGTCAATCGTAGATCAACATCAACTTCACAACAGTTAACCTGGTATGCTGAGGATCCAGGTATTAACTTGGGTGGAGACATTCCAGATGAAGATGCTAGGGCGAATGATGCAGAAGATGCCGATGGTGTAGCAGAAGCAATGAATTGGAAACATTTATTGGGTTTAGACGGATCTTTGAATTTTCTGGAGCATGTTTTATGGCTTATTGCTCTAAACACACTCTTTATAGTCATATTTGGTGAGTACTTCATTGTATATGCATAACACTATGTATTCAGCTTCTCAAATTAATAACTTATTGAAAAATTTATACGCCTGATTGAATCTCAGTTGTTCTGTACGACTGATATTACCTATCCATTCAAAGGTATGATGGCAGGTGGGTATGCAAAATGCATTCAGTAAATAGTTGATCAACACAAAGTGCTTAAAGACTTAATATATAAAATATGTAAATTCTAAGTTGTATTCGGATTATTTACCAATAATCTTACTTTGTGTAAGGTAGGTGATACTGATTGATTTAAAATATGTATTTTGATAAAACTATGCTATTAGTTTCTATTCTATAAACTGTGATTGGGAATAAAATATTTTGAAGTGTTTATCTATGAATATCATTCAACCGGTGATCCTTATTGGACGATTTATAGAGAAAGCGAAAATTCGTGGAAGGTTTGAAGAGGCTAGCCACCTGTGAGCATATTTGCCTTCATTCTGTCTCGTGTTCGATAGCATAATCAGCAATTCCCATTATTAATATTAGAACTATATATATATATATATATATATATATATACACGTATATATATATATATATATATATATATATAGGCAAACTATTGTTTTCAGGCTTTACTCTAATTTACATTGCTTTATATATAAAAAATTTAACCTATAACGGTGAGTTTGTGGATCAAATTGTAATAGTAGTAATAAGTGTTAAATGTTTTGAACGTCAGTAATAAAAATGATTATAATGCTAACCAAATAATGATAACAGGCTTTATGCAGGCGATAAAAATAACGAAGGTAGTAATATTTATATATGTAGACAATTTAATAAACAGACTGGGTCAAATCTTAAAAGTTATGTAATACTAAAGGTGAGGTGGACAGATAATCAAAGTTTGAGTAAATATTACAAAAGTACGAAGAAAATGGAAAGTAAAAAAGTGTAAAAGGGTTTTAATCAGACTTTACCTAGTCCAAGGAAGAGAAAAAGGTGGAACAAACTTCTTTTGTATGCAAATACTAGGATTGTTCCCTCGAATTCCTACAGCTTCGGCTATATGTAAAAGGCGGGTTCGAATTTCGTTAGAAAGGTTCGATGGAATATGATAGATAACTTTGAAGGCACTTCTTCTGTCCACTTGGTGACCGCTATCAATCAAATGCGACAAAATAGAACTTCTTGTATATTTTACTTGACGTTTTCCGAACCGTGTTGGAAGATGCTCAGTAGTACGCTTGAGCTGTCTAGTTGTTCGCCCTATATAGCTTTCTCCGCTGGAGCAGCTAAATTTGTAAATACACAAAGAAGTGTCACAGTTAAACAGAGTGTCTTTCTCTTGAGCAATCATAATTGGTCGGCTGAGAAATGACAAACAAAGAGTGGTGGCGGTATAAATCCGTTTTATTGCTATAGTCATCTTAGATGTAGGACTTCACTCACCATGTCCTCAGTGAATTGCAGTTTCAGGAACAATAGTTTCTTTTTAACCCTGGTTGGTTTCTTTTTGTTATACACATTATTCATGTGTATCTTTACAAATCTCCTAAGATTATCCATTTACACCAGCGTTTTTGGGATGTATCCTAATTCATTTTCTAGCGAATCATCTGTACAGACCCTTCTTGCTATGTTCATGAGGCATTTGACCAAATTGATTCGTGTATAACAAAGAGAAACCAACCAGAGTTAGAAAGAAACTATTGTTCCTGAAACTGCAATTCAATAGGGACGTGGATAGTGAAGTCCTACATCTAAGATAATCATAGCAATAAAAAGGACTTAAACCGCCTCCAAGCAAAATACTAAGCCGCATCATCCTGGAGAGAATCAAACTTCGACCGGAACAGGCTGGATTCAGGAGAAACAAGTCATGCATTGATCAGATCGCCACATTACGGATCATCATTGAACAAAGCTTGGAATGGCATTCACCTCTCTACCTCAACTTCATCGACTTTGTAAAGGCCTTCGACAGCGTCGATCGAGAGGTGCTTTGGCAACTACTTCGCTACTACGGGGTGCCACCAACAATAATACATTTCATCCAACAGCTGTATGACAATGCTGCATGCCAAGTAATCCTCAACGGGAAACTTACAGAATCCTTCGAAGTGAAGACAGGAGTAAGACAAGGCTGCCTACTATCGCCAATGCTTTCCTGATTGCAGTAGACTGGATAATGCGACAAACAGCGGGCAATGAGGAAACAGGCATAAAATGGATTCACACAAAAACTTGGAGGATCTGGACTTCGCCGATGATATACATTTGATTTCCTACAAACTGGAAGATTTGCAAGCGAAAAGCAACAAGTTGGCAGAAGAAGCATCAAAGATAGGACTTCAGGTGAACGTAGAGAAAACAGAGGTGATGAAGATTCCTGGACAAGAAGAACAACAACAGACAACGATCAGCATAAATGGAAGGGACCTGAAAGAAACAACCTCTTTTACCTACCTGGGAAGCATCGTTTCAACTACAGGCGGAACTGACGAGGATATCAAAGCAAGGATCGGAAAAGCAAGACAAGCTTTCAATACTCTCAAGTCTGTGTGGAGGTCAACAACACTCAGCATCAAAAATAAGATCGGGATTTTCAACTCCAATGTGAAGTCAGTACTACTATACGGATCAGAGACTTGGCGTGTCACAAAGGGCACCTCAAACAAACTACAGACCTTCATTAACAGTTCTCTTCGCTCAATACTAAAGATCAGATGGCCGGCCAGAAAAGATCAGCAACAGAGATCTCTGGCAATGAGCGAACCAACCGATTGTGAAACAAATAGGCAGGAAGAAATGGAGATGGATTGGCTGGCCATAATCTGAGGAAACCATCAAGTGACATCACTAGAGAAGCCATTGCTCGAGTGGAACTCAAAAGGGAAGCGGCGAGTTGGTCGTCAGTGCGAGGGTGGGTGACTTGGAGGAGGTCATGTGAAGAGGAGATTAAAACGTGTGGGCAGACATGGAGCCAGTTGAAGACTCTAGCAGAGACCCGAACGCAATGGAGACGCACGGCTGAAGCCCTATGTTCCTCTAGGAATTAAAGGATACAATAATAATAATAATAATAATAATAATAATAATAATAATAATAGTAAACCGCCTCCAGCCTTTGTCATTTTCCAACCTACCAATTATTGCATACTGAATGCAATAAGGTTTCATCATAAGAGGTAGAATGCAATTAGTCACCATCACCGATTACTCAGTAACATTGGTGAATGAAAATGATAAAAATGATCATTCTTAATAAACTTAGCGGGTTTCTATCATCTCACTTTCCTTAAACCTTTTCATAAGTCAGTTGGTGAACTTTTTATTATTTTTCCCCTAGTCAAATTTTGTCATAAGACTTTCTAATTATTCAAATTAAGTATCGTTTTCAGGTTATAAATTACAGAAATTTAGGCTGTGTATTTTTATGTTCTATTTCTCACTACGAATTGTAACTGGCCTTATTTTGTAACTTATTCTTTTTGCATGTAGCATTCTGTCCATATCATATGGGTCAATTTACTGTCTTGGGCTTCAATTTGGACCGTTTCGTAAGCTTCAATTCTTGTTGGTCACTTTGATTATTAATTTTATTATAGATAAGTGCAACTCACATGGAAGGCTTCACTACTAGTTTGATCGGTTACATAATTTTCGCTTGTGCTCTGGTTCTTATGCACGAAGTGTTTGCCATCCTCAATATGCCCAGGTAAGGTTATAATGATGATTATTTTGTTCTTGTTATTATTGTTACTGTTTTTATTGCTACCGAAGACGAATATCACTTGTCAGTTCAGTTCTTCTGCTAAATGTAATGGTCCAGAACAAGGGAAACTAGGAAATGCATATTGTGATTAACTTTCTACTACACGTTTAAAAAAACAAAAGCAGGAGTAGATTCAAAAACAAGTAAGAGGGACCCAACTGTTCACTAATCCGTGAAGTTGTTGACCATTATTTCGGGCCATGTAGAAGTTTTCCATCCAAGTCATCCTTTAGTCTTACTAGGATTATGCCGCCTGATTTTTTTTTCTTGGGATGAACAGGAACTTGATTCCACTCGAGGCTTTGTAAAGGTTTAAGTTACCCTGTTTTTGAAGTTCAATAAGATAATCTTTCTTCCAATTGCCATGTAAGTACCTTTCCTTCCTTCCACCAAGGTTTCTGGGTTCGCTCTCAGTGGTTCTCGAAGGAAATTCACCAGATACTGCTGCTTTATGGCTACCCATGATTTTGGCCTCTGAGGGATGATTAGAATTCTGTCTTTGTTAGTCTTATTTCTGGATGATTTGCTGGTAGTGGTGGGTTCCAGAGTCCTTCAAAGTAATCAGCGCATAGTTTCCTTCGCTTCTTCTCTTTTTGGCAATTAGATTTCCTTCACTATCATTTACTAGTTCCATCTGCGTTGACCTACTCCTAGATCGCAACCTGGTTATTTAGTAAAGTGTTCTGAGGTCCCTCTTACCTGCGCTTTGTGAAATTGTCATTTGGCACTGCTGGAACTCTTCTTTATTTTTTTTATTGCTCCCACGGTTGCTCATCTCTGCACTAGTTCATCTTCTGCCTCGCCATCCTTCTCTGTTGCATGAACTTCCACATGCCCGTAGAGGGCTATTCTTTGTCTTGCCCCTTATTTCTTCCTAAAACAGCTATACAGGTTTCCTTCCTTCCTGACTGGTTTCGACGTAGAACTTTTCACAGAAGTGTGGCAGTTAGAGTTGTCGCACTCCATGTATCACACTAAGGAAGAGGGAAGAGGAAAAAAGATTGGAAATAACACAATAAACAGAAATGTGAGGGGATAGAATAGTTACATAGAAAAACAATATGGTTTAAAATTTCCTTCCACATCACTTTCAGACAGTTCCATTGTTGATCGTCTCAGCCTTCCCCCATGATGCTACATAATGTATCCTACTTCTTTCTGATGACTGCTGTGATTTCCTTTTTATTTTCATCTTCCAGTTCCTGGATGTTGAACTTGAGTTATAATCTATCCACAGCTTCTTTGATTGCTTTCAACTTGATCGTGTAGAGTTCATGTACTTGTTAGTAATCTGAACCAACACCTGCTCTCATGCTCAATCTTTTGTCCAGGTGCCTGCGTCTCCACTTGCTTGAGATTGAGATGAAGTCTGTTTGATTTTTGGTGTGTTCATATGGTGAAACCTATGTGTCCTAGTGTATACACTCTGCCTCCAACTACCAAATCACTGAACGTGCAGGCGTGTGTAAAAAGTTCTGCCTTCTCATTCATTTCACTGAGCCCCTCTAGAACTATAATGAGTTCTCTTCATGTGTTGTTTACTTCCAGTTTCATATTCACATCACACATTGGGATTTTGATATCACTTTTGGTGTTTTGTTCATTAATGGTTGCAGTTGCTTGTAGAAGTTTTCCTTCTCTTGGTTTGTGTTGTTTGTAGGAACATGAAATTGGATAACCGTAACTTTCCTTCCTTATGAGTTAAATTTTGTTGTCATTATCTTAAGGAGATTGATTCCTACTGTGTGAGAGCCTTCGATACTGTTGGTTACATTCGTGATGTGTTGGTGTTGAAACTTAATAATTACCCTGATAAATTAATTAGGACATATGTAGGGAAGTGTAAAAATGAAATAAATAATAATAGTAGTAGTGACAGTGATAACAGTAATAGTATTATTAATGACGACATGCATGTCAAACATGCACAGGACGATGACAACACCAACAATAAGGAATCTAAATCATCAGTAATACTTTTATACAAAGAAGAAACCTCGGAAACCCTACGCAGAATTAACAAGGCAGGAATAAAGGTGGCTGGCATTCAAACCCACAAACTCAATTAAAAACATGCTTTGTCGGTTAAAGGATCCTGTGGAGCCTTTAAAACAAAACAATTTAGTTTATCTAATACCCTGCTGAAATGATTGTCAGGTCAAATACATAGGTCAAAGTAGTAGAACAGGGGCAGTCAGTCAGACTGGCGGAGCACAGAAACCTAGCAAAATCTAGATTGGTTGACCCGAATAAGATAAGAAATCTGGAGAATAGTTCAGCCATAGATAGCACTACATGCAATTACACACAACCATACAATAGGATGGGGGTGAGATGACAGTTTTAAAATCTAATGTAAAAGGGTGGAGGGGAAGATTGATAATGGAAGCTCTATTTATCGAATCAACCGGAAACGCGTGTAGTAGGAATGAATGAACACCTGTCCCAGAAATCTGGGAAATTCTACTCTCCCTACGAGAAATAGGAAAGAATAAAGAAAACTATAAAACGAAAGTTTCGAAGCTGTGTGATTATAGTTAGTGAAATGATTATGAACAAAAAATTTTGTTCGAAAAGTCATCCAGTAAATAATAATACTGTTCCACTGTGTGATATATCTTTTAAACAAATTAATATGGAATTACATATCACCACAGTGCCCAAATTTTACACAAATACTAGTAGGTGTACGGTCTAAAATACGGGATAGATATTGTATCCATTCCATATTCCAGTTGTTGACCATTTGAATTAAATGTTTTTATGAAGCTGTTTAAAAGTATTTCACTCTACAAAATGCTATGTGCTTACGGCAAACTGTCATTTACACAGCCACAGTAAAGTTTTTTATGCTGGGATCTTTTAAAGCAGAAGGCTATACTCTTTTTATTGTCATCTTCAGGGGACTAAATACGTTTTCTGTGATGAGCCATACAATCAGCTCTTGTTCATAAAGCAAAATTTATTGCATTCATCAGCTTTCGGTGGAACCCTTGTGTTGAGTACTCTACATACACTGATTGCAAATACTACACTGACATTTTGTTCCTTTGCTGAGAAAATCTCAGCAATCACCCCACTAAGGCTGATGCAACTTCCCAAATAAGTGAAGTGGTCAAAAAACTACCATTTCCACTCCCTATCTTTAAGCTAATAGTCCGTGTAGTCAAATCTTTCAGTATCACCTTGCCTTCCACAGGACTGAATCACACGTCAAACATTCGGAAGATTTTCACCCATTATGTTCACAAAACCCTGCACTTTTACAGCATCTCCACCTAGAAGGAGAATGCAATGTGCATACTCTAAGGCTACAAGACTATACCCTGGTAACAAGTCAATCCCTAATTCACTATATTCATCTAAGGTTGATTCCATTATTACATATTTGATGAAAGTAAACAAAAGTGGGGACAGTGGGCATTTCTGATGGACACCATTGGTTGTCATCACTTCAAATGACAACCCTCCGTAATCTCTTACACGACTATGTGAGTTCGAGTAGAGTGTCTTGACTAGTGTAGTGTACGTCTGCCGGAAAACTTTACCACACCACCTCTCGGTCGAAAGAGTCGAATTCCGCCTTCAGGTGTTGGTCACCAGTAAGTACGCCTGTGTTTCAGCACTTGTTGAGTGGTCAATATATGATCGATACACACTCCTCCTGACGTGAAGCACGACTAGTTTTCTCGCGTAAGTTTCTCCCCAACACCGCTGCATCTGTGTGTGATTATTGAGCCTAGAACTTCAGATACCACATTAATTAAGCCTATTCCTCTATGGTTTTCATAGGAGGACTTGTCTACCGTCTTATAAACTGAGACAATCAGTGGCCTGCAGCAGTCTAATGGAACTACCTCTCACTCCCGGACATTACCTCATAACTTAGTTAATCCAGACAGCAGTTAGTCACCACCATACTAGAACGCCTCTGGAGTCATTCCATGACATCCTGTAGCTTCTTCTCATTCCAGATTATAGACAGCCTTGGTAACTTTAGTTACAGATGTCTACATCCCATTCAATTAGGCGTTCGTAGCCTGTGTAGAACTGTATATATCGATAGGGTGATTGTTATGGGAGTTAAAAGGGACAGACTAAAATCTGGAACTAGGCAGGGAAAATATTATTTGCGAATTCTGCCACCAATGTGATGTATACGATTTTATTAAAGTGAATTGTATTTTTATACACCAAAATTAGTTTTGCCTAACTGATCTTGTTAACGTTATTTAGCAGAACTAGTGGAAAGCTTTAAAGTGAAGTGGTTTCTGCGTGTCATTATTGTTGCACTCGGTTTCTCGTCATCACCTTCAACTGCCTATGCTATTGCCCATAAAGCTTTCATTTCGTCTTCAGACCTTCTCAACATCACCTTGAGATACCCATTCTAGAGTCTGCCCTTCCATGTCGCTTCAACGTCTCCTGATTGTCGGTACATCCTTATTTATTAGAAACAATTATGTTTTTTGCAACAGTTTCGTGAATAGTTAGCCATCATACCTTCCAGCTGGGCATCTGCTGTTCTACATCCAGCTAATTGTGGATATTCCTAAAGCCTACAGCTGGCTGTTTGGTTCCACGAGCTCCTGGTCTCTGGACTATATAGAAGCACTAACTGTCAGGACATTAGTGTTAAAAAATTGCATCTTGTTCATTGTTTTGTGTACTGTATATCTCAAAACTGACTTCAGGGTAATGAACATCCATCTTACTTTTCCAATCCTACTTTTAATATCCTCATCTGTACCACCACTCACTCACGTAACTTAGTGTGCAATATGTAATGTGATATAACCACTTGTGCTCTGCCAAGGTTTGTGATCAAGCATGCTTTTGCTTCTCAAATAATTATAAGTAATATGAAAGAAAAGAAGGCGTTCAGGGAAAAGACGCTTTTCGTCGAATTCATTCACCGAGTAAGTTGATTGCGACTTATCATACGTAGGCTTAAATGATATTGTGATAACACTTTATAATTTCAAAAGTTCTGAGCACCACCATGTTTCGTTAAATTATTTTTCTTTCCCACTTGTAAGTTTCCTTTCCATTGTGCTGCGATTTCTTATTATTTTGTCTTTTGTTGTGGAGTTTGGCAAGCTGAACTGATACCGTTCTATGGGATGTTAGAGACTAATTATTCGTTTTTCCAATTATACGTGTGTACTTAGAAATTTTAAGAGTCACTGTAGTTTGCTTTGCTCAACCTAATTATGGGTTATATTCCTTTCCACCTAACATAGGGCTTGTTATTGGACCGGTCTTGGCTATGTGTACATCAAAGTAGCCCTGGTCTCTTTAATGGAGTTGGGGATCTTTCCTGTTCTCTCTGGATTTTGGATAGATGCCTGTACTTTAGTAAGTTTTTTTGTTGATGTATAAGTAAAACTTCTGTTAATGTGTTATTATGTCTTTAGATTTTTAGTGCAAAATATCGTTAGTTCAATTATTATTCTTCCTTATTCTCGACGCAGTAGAAATCTTATATCATTTACTACATGACCTAAAGCATAAGAATATCTCAGTGATTTATTTTATTGAGTAAATAAATACAGTCTGTTGTCTCTTCACTTCTCTTTCAGTAATTTACGACTAGTGTAGATTTCAGATTAGTTAAACACAAAATAACTATCACATTTGAGTATTTCTACAGCTAAAAACTAGATTTAACTACACGTAGACACTTTCAGACTATGAGGCCTATTTCATATTTCATTTGGAGTTTATTTAGCAACCTCATTGAACCGTACTATGCTGTTTGTCGACGATTTTATTTCAATAGAGCATTTAAACAAGGGAAATGGTCTTTCGTTACTTTTGCATTCCCGTGCTATCGAGAAAGTTGAAGTGAAAACTGTCTACATCTGCGTGGAACTCCTTATATAGTACTCTATTTTTATTTAGAAAAAAAAAACAACAGATTCAGTGAAGAGATATATTCCTTTTCAATTAGTTCTTTATCATCGGCTGCCTCTACACCAATGTATAGTTTTCTACGTAAAAATGTTTTACCAATCAACGCGTTATTTTAGTTCATCAGTTTTAAGTATAGAAGGGGGTGGGTGGGGTGAAATTAAGAGTTTAAAGGTCATAAAAACAATTAACCAATAGACATTATTAACAAGATATCTAATTTTTGAAGGAGGAAGAGGTGAAAATTAATTACGGAATTGAAGATAAGTTAATTCTTAGGCGTTAGAAACAAGTTAATATATAATCAAGAAATTTGTAAAATAGCAATGATGACTAAGAAGAATTCATCTGAACAAGCCAAACCTGTGCGTTCAAAAGAAATTTGTACAGCCTCAATGTTTGCCATGGCCAACTATATAACATGTATTAAGTTTTTAAAAGGATGTTTTCCCTCCCCCTGTTACCATCTTTTGACTTTGTTAATTTTTACAATTCTAGTTAATTCTATTAACGTGTTTGTATTTTACGTAACTCTTCTGAGTCATCCTATTTTTCTTAGTCATCATCGCTATTTCTCGATTATGTAATAACCTGTTGCCAACGCCTAAGAGTCAAACTATCTTGAATTGCGTAATTAATTTTCACCCCTCTTTTAAAACTTAGATATCTTGTTACTAACATCTATTAGTCAGTTGTTCTGATGACCTTTAAACTCTTAATTTCACCCACCCACCCTATACTTAAAACTGATGAACCAAAATAACCACTTGATTGGTAAAACATTTTGATGTAACAAACTATATTTTGGTGTAGAGCTAGCCGATGATGATGAACTATTTTTATTTGTTAAAATACCAATCGCTACTCTGTGGACATGAAGAAATGTGTCACGAAAGGAATCGAACGACAGTGTACAGAAAATTTAGACAAAAGTTCTGTGAAACCACGGAAGGTAACAGTTGATCATATCTATGGAGTATATTTACAGCATGGATCACTACTTCAGATTACTATCGGAGCGGTGTGAAACGACAGTTAATTTTAGGTCGGACGGACGTTTTTGGAATTACGAAATATACTTTTTTATTGGTCCTTGGATTGGTTTCAGAAAATGCATATTTCACTCGTCACACACTACTTGTCTAATCTCCACAGTTCAGCTACATGAGTAGATGCAAGTGTAATCTCTACCAATCTTGCATCAGTAATTTGAGTGTCATCAACAACAAAATTTAGAGAAATGGCGAAATCCCACAACCCTGTCTAATTCTACTGCTGTTTGAGATTAAATCTGATAAGTAATTATTGGCACATATTTTTGAGGTGAGAACCTTTGTGTGAAATCTCACTCACTAAGTGTTTTCTAGCTCTTACAGAGTTCATGTGTCATAGCTGTAAATTGTTGCTAGACGTCCTATTCAGCAGTAAACATGCCCTATGATAGGAGCCCAGATATCCAAGATTACTCAACTTGATATATCTCAAACTAGGCCATTGTATTCATTCTGAGAACATGTAAATAAACAGTGGATTAGGGTTGATGTAACCCAATAAAAATATACGGTTCTTCGATATTACTATTCTTTCTGCCTCATATCTCTGTTTTTACTGTCTCTATTTTGCACTCCTTTTTACTTTCTTCTCTTGCTTTGTGTGCTACATGGAGTGTGGTGACTCGAACTGCTGCACATCGGTGCAAAGTTCTATGTTGAAACCAGTCAGTCAGATGTAACCCAGCCATTCACTACTTCTCCTTGTACTAGGAGTTGCCACAAAATACTCTTGCCGCATATGCTTGCATTTGACAGTGACGAAGCTCATGCGGAACAGTGTGTTCAAGTAGGCGTTAATGAATCTAACCAAGTAATTTATTATCATTCGTGTGTCGGTGGTTCGATAGTAGAATACTCGCCAACAATGCATATGGTTTGAATCCGATTCCCGTAAAAATATCATTACTGCAAGTTTAGGACTCAAGTTTGAAACCCTATGTTCCACTTGGAACGTAAAATGATGAAAAAGCCATTCATCAATACTACCCCTTGACACTTTTGAAGTCAAACCACTAGGCTTTTTGCTATCATCCTTTCAAATTACAAATAACTTTTCGAATCTTTCTTAGAGTTTCAGAACCGATATTTTTGATTCAAACTGGCGTTGGATGACTATGATGCTACTGTATTCCAGTTGAACTGCAGTTCACTGTCGTCATGTTATTTTGTAAATGTAGTACTTTCTGGCTAATTGATAGCTAGATTTTTTTTTACTTAATTGCAGTATTATCTGCACCAGTACACTTAAGTCAGTCTTTATATCGACGATTATAATAATAACCGACAAAATGCTAGAGAAACACCACACAATAAAGCATTACTGGTTTCCAGACGTCTACCCAAATAGATATGGCGTTTCTGTATGTACTGACACCTCCTGTAGCCGATTTCAATGTGATCTACGTGAATGCAGGCTTGAGTGGCAGAAAGAAGATAAAGAATTCCAGTGACTGTTCTGGAAGTCAATGATGACTGAGATTATGATCTGCGCAAAGCACCAGAAGAGGTAGTCTCTACCAGTGATGAAAGCTGCCGTCAAAGATATCAAAGGCAACTTAACCCATTGTAAGGTGATTATGACTGAAGTTAGAAAAACCTAAGTTATAGCTTTAAAGTCTTGTATATCGGTCAGCAGTTGTATGTGGATAGATAACCTAAGAGTCCAATGAAAGCTAGCTAGATATCTTCATATAGTGACTGAAATTCCATATCATAATGACCTAAGAAACTACACTTACTTGAAAAATTACTCCTGATGACAGTGTTATGCTTAAAATGTGAGTTCGATAACAGCAGGAATAGTAACAACCTTTCATGTAGTTTATTAGCGTATGCATTCGCTTTCCAACCATATAAATATTGCTTAAAGATAAACTGATATGTTCATCCGTTAAGTATCATACGATGTATCATGCATTGAAAGTCAGCAGTTATAGTTATTTCACTGTGTATCATCCCATTGAGCAAATAACTTTGTCAGGGAAAATTAAATGTGAAAAGTTATTTTACCTTTATGCATTGAACAGTAACATTTCTATTCTATCACTTCATTTTTCAGTCTCTTTTCAACGCAACTGTAACTCAACGAACAAATGTATTTCATTATGCCCCAGTAGTCTTTACTTTTATCCATTGGGCAGTTGGTATGCTGTATATATTCTATATGGCATCATTGCTTGTACTCGGTCGAAGCGTACTACGTCCTGGAGTACTACGCTTTATATATCACTTTAATGATCCTGATTACAAGCCTATTCAGGATGTAAGTGACACTATGAGTGGCTGTTTCAGTTTATCGTAGTATTATACTACTTTTATCCTAGAAAATTTCATAATTGTTTATCGCCTAAATTATATAGATGTTGTTATCATATTTATTGACAAGCTAGAACATGTTAACTGTGTACATACATCACTACTGTTCGTTAAACAGACTGAAAGTCAAGCTCATGTCACGTCACAATATACCTTACATTGTTGAAGTATGTAGATTTGATAGAGAAGATAATTACTATAAAATTGAGGCTTACACATATCAACAACATAAAAGGAAAAATCGACAGAAGAAAAAGTGGAAGAACACAATTCCCTCCATTATAAAAAGAACGGAACTAGATTGTATCACTGTTATAAGGTCATTTACCACCTTTTCCTGCGAAGATTATTGCATAGGAGCTGTAAAGCGGAAATTCCGATAGAATACAATGTACCCTGAACACCTGAGGGAGAGACATATGTGTTTTGCAAGTTCCACCCTAATCTAGTAAGGGGTAAAGCATAATTCAAATGTTGCACTGATTGACAGAGCTTCAATTAGTATAAGAAAAACAAGATTCTAAGTCTTACTGACGAATTGTCAAAGACCGTGAATTGAAGTTTGACATTCACATCCATAGTCTATGTAAGTGTATTTCCTCTACTGGTTTCATGCAGCTGACTAGAAACCTCAGGATAAAATAATCCTCCGTTCTTTTTGTTGCTCGTGCTCTAATCCAGATAATGTTTTGTTCATCGGTTTTTGGCGAAATCTGGAGCAAACACCAGTCGTTTTCTCCCTCATGGTTTGCACACTTTATATAGAACCATTGAATTACGCTGCACAAAAATTAGTTTTCCGAAATTACCCAGTCGTTGATGTTCATCTGCATATCACAAGTGCAACAAGCTGATTAGTTAATAACTTTCCATACAATAAGATGATTGTTGTATTTTTCGCATGTCTCACTAGGTTTTTAACCGATTCTAAGAGACAGTTCCACAGACACTGACTTTACGGTGAACGTGTTACCCTTCATACTAGATCAAGTAATCAATTTCGAGGCATCATGCTATTAATGCAAGAATGTTTTGTTTATGTGTATTGGGTGAAGTTTAAACAAAATTCTTTTGTTATAATGAAGGTTTTTGTATTTCCCAATGAATGAAAAACAAAAGGATATTGTTTTCACTGACGTTTCGCCATTTAGTGCAAATAGCTTTATCAAAGTATTATGTGACGAAAATAATATTTAAAACCGGTACGACTATATGTAAGCTGGTTAGTCTGCAAAATAGTCAGTCGAAAACGAAGACAACTTTTAGTTGCCTATAAAACGACTCCCATGATTTCGTGTCCTTCTATGTGTAACTGACTGAGTTAAATAGGTAGATGGCATCCTTTCAGTCTAAAGGATTTTTTATTTCAATATTGCTTTCTTTTTTATACTCTGTACGCTGCTATGCTTATTCGGGTTCAAGTTGCATTGGGAAATTCATCACTTAACCACAACAGATAACTTTCAAGAAATTCTGGCATTTAGATCCCAATGAAAGCAAGTGCCAAGCACATATAGTGCCAGTATTTAGTTAGTTAGTTACCTGACATTGCAATAGAAAATACAAACTGAAGTTATGCACCTTCGTTAGAATAGAACTGAAGTTAATTTTCAACATAAAACCTCTCACAGAGGTTCATCAGTTCAAGTTACTACCCCATAGAAGCACTAAGATGTGAAGAAAATGCGAAGAAACTTAAGTAAATCGCAATGTTGTGCTGGGTGGAAAGAATGATTACATGAAATATGACGGAAATTTAATAAGTGTCGACGAAATCATCAAGGGTGAATGCATCGTTGCCGCTGAAAGCTATCTCGAACCACATAACCGATAGTCTGCAGCCATTGCCTATTATCGTCTTGGAGACATAAACTTAGGCAGTCCACACAACTAACTACGTGGCTCGAACCAAACAGTCGAAGACGTCATGGAGATCTGGCATATTCATCTAAGCGCTTTACCTTTAACCAAAGCATCCTGCGTTCGTATCCACCGGTCTACGTTAGGTGGGATAACTGGGTTGTTTTATCAACAGTGAAAAGATATATGCGACTAATGGCCTGGTACGAGGAAACTGTCTTCCGAATTATTAAGTTCTGTTTATCTTTGTTGTGATCTTGAATGTTGGTTTATTCTAATAATTGTCTTTTATTTCAAAGCCAATCCGCAGTACAGTGTTTTCTTTTCCTTTTTATATATTTCAGATGATTTTTCAACCTTTGCCAGTATACGTACAGCGTTTAATTGCAACTTATGTAAGTAAGATAGACCGCGCATCATTCACACTTATTTATGCTTTCTAATCTTGTTCCGTCTTCCTTTTGTTTTCAATCATCGTAATAATTTATGATTTCATTTCTTTTATATTCACACGCACAAAACAATACACAATTTTCGTCTACGCAGTCGGTATGGGGCATTTTGATTGTGCTTATGCTGTGGATACCTACAGAAGTGGTTCGACATTTCCTTCCGAAATTTTTGCCTTTTCGTATAAATACAGCCTAGTAAGTCAATACTACACAATACCTAGATATTTAGTTACAGGATAATTTTTGATGTGGTTGTGTCCTCTGAGCTCAGGTAGTTTAATTGCGAAACCTGCATTGTCTTTCTAGAGAATTTGTTTCTGCTCAGACTGTGTATACTCCAATAATAAACAGCCTTATTCTGAAAATTTTGTGTTTACATACAATACAAAATTCTCTGCTTAATTTCTTGCAAAATCTTTACTCCCCATATCGCATATGTGGGTAATATATTCAACCAAAGTATGTCGTATGACCTAACACCCTTCCATCTAAAACAAGAGTCAGTGGTCTACGATGCTTTTTCGTCATTTACTCCTTGAAGTTCAGAGCGGTAGGTTGAAAGTCAATTAAAAATTCGCCTGAGTTCATGTTCCGACTCAAAGACATAATTGGAAGATTAATGCAAGAAATGGAGTAAAGTGGTAGGTGCATAGTGTTGAATGGAAATTTAGATAGTCCAGAAATCCAGACAGGCCATCGAAAAAAGTCTAATGTGTATAAGACAACAATAAACCGCTCAGCTCAGAAGACAACAACTACATCAAAATGCTCCATCTGAGCTTTAAATCCTCTTCATTTATTTCAACATGCAGAATATGTCTATAATAGTTGATTTTCTTTTAAGTATTGTAGTGTGTTCATGATTATTAATCAACGTGTTTCTTCACATTTGTTAGCCGTAATATTTTTTCAAACTGTCTAATTCAATATACAAATTGTGAAGTGTAATTTATAGTACAGCTGTGTATGGTAATTATAGCTAGTCTCCTTTTCACAACTTGTCAACTGATTGTTATTGGCAAATTATTAAATGAAGTTGTGGTAAAATTTCAAGTGAGAGATATCAAATCTCGGAAAACACAAGACAATTTTCGTCCACATCTTGAGCTAAAAAGTCTTCCGTTTTGTTTCGTAGCAAGCTGACTGAATGGTCAGCCAGGGTTAAGTTACTCTTAGCAACACCAACGGTTATAGACGCATCATGCATGTAATCATAAATGTCTGTCAGAGTAACCGGCATCATTACCTTCATACCTAAGCTTTACGAAGACTTAGTAAGTAGCTGAAACCCATATCCGTCGACATTCTGCCCAATAATCTTATGGTCGCTAGTTTGTATTGCCGTGAGACCTAAGCTTTCATGTCACCTTTTATTCAAAACCGGTTACATTTATTAATCATCCATTTTGAGTCGTTAATTAGATAAAACACATGTTAACCGAAGTTGTCCTGAATTGTATCGTCTCAAACAATATCTTGTCATAGTTAAACAAATATGGTCTCTTTGTGCTTCACTGATGCCTACTATTTGTGTATGAATACAACTCATTCTATGTGCTTTCATGGCGACGCATAAGGCGTTGTCTTAGTTTGAGACAAGAAACCACAATCTGTTCATGTAGATACATCATTTGGCTTTCAGACTACAAGTAAAGAACATTCATGTATTGTCATTGACCAACAACGGCGTGATAATAAATTCCTTGAAAAGAGTCTCTTAGCTGAAATACTTATTTTGATTTTCTATATGTCCTAATGGGAATTTTCCACGGATAATTTTTTTGTTATTGCAGTAGGAGCTAGTCGCTTTTTCATTTTCAATACAATCCACTGTCGACTTACTAGTAATGATATTATGTTTACCTCAAGATTTAGCTATAAGATGAATCTTTTCGTCGTTTTGCATGGACTTACTCTGAAAACGATGAATTTTTCATACTAAATTGCAGCGGTGTTATTGAGCATACTCAGTTGGTGAGCAATGTGTATTAATTAATAAAGAGTAACATCAATAGACGTTGTGATTATTTTTCAAATATTTTACAGTAATGCATCATTAATTCCCATGTGGAAACTGCATACTTTTATCATGCTTCGAATACTTTCATTTACTAACTAACTTACACATCATCAGGGTGAAGTGGCTGTACTTGAGTTTTCTATACAATTGTAGCATTTGGACTTATTTCACTAAAATGTTTGTTGTAGTATGACTTCTCGGGAATTTTACTTTAGTAGAAAAAATATCGTGTTACATATTTTATTGTAACTTAGTTTAGCTCATTTTCCTGTCATATTTATGTCTCTTTTTTTCTCTATTTAAGTGACAGTCCATGGGATTATTCATTGGAAATGATCCTTCTGCAAGTTGTACTTCCATTCTTATTAGATGTTCAGGCGAAAGCCAGTCTCCGTCAGTTATTACGTTGGTGGTGTGTAAGCGTAGCCTGGTTATTGGGTTTGCGTAGTTACCTATTGGGAGATGTGCCTTTTTCACCTGGGGTTAGTCGAAAAAAAATATTTAACATTGCATTATAATTTGTGTGTATTTGCTTCGTAAATTTAAAATTTCATATTGATAAGCTAAGTTCCTGGTTAGAAACTGCACATATACCGATAGCTTTAATTCGAAATAAGTAATTTAGGTTGACATTTCCGCACCTTCGCTCATCAAACCAACTGCGAACACCTCCAATTGAAATGAGGCTATCGGGATACTACAAATAAGGCAATAATCTTGATATTAAATAAAGTGATATATATATATGTATATGCATACATGCATCCTTTATATTCTTCATCTAGGACTTTATTGTAACTGAAAATGGCAGAGAAGTACCTTTCAAACCTGGACAGTATCCACGGAATGAAGCACAGACGTCAAGTAATCATGCCAACGAAGAATTGAATCCTGTACATTCGTCGCAAACAACATCAAATAACGAAGCTCGTAGTCTTCAAGCAGAATTATATACTGTAGTTTCATCATCCAATGAAGGAAATTCGTCTGCTGATAATCCCTCCCATGAACATGTACAACCTGAAGTCGATGCGCAAGATGATGGTTATACAGACGAGGAAGATTTTGCACGTTATGTGCCTTACAAAAAACCAGTTGCCTGAAACTGCGAATTTTTGGCCTAATTATTTTATTGCTCATTAGTCTGATGTCCTTAAGTCTAGCTTTACTGATTGTACCTGTCGGCGTTGGACGATTCCTGTTGAATTTTAAAGGAAAAGATTCTACATCAAAGCATGATGCGATTGCCTTAGTTGGCGGCTTTACTGTCCTGGGACTGATGCTTCGCTTGGCTCCTTGGTAAGTTCATTTCGCTACTATCGTATTTACACTTCTGATAATTATTCAGTGTTAGTACTTAATTGGCTTGACAACAAGTGTAGCTATATACTGCAGAGCTTGACTCGTGCTAATGTGCATATAAAAATAAGCCGTTGAAAGGTGAATAATAAGTATAGACAACGTTATTAAAATGATTTGAAAAGCAATTTGTTGAAAAACGGCTATATAAAAGCATATTACTAGCACAAATCATAAGATGGATATCATAACGGCTCTCATAAGTCCATACAAAACCGTCAATGGTGCATACCAAAATATGCTGAGTTGATAGCCATGATTCAAATTAAGCCCTCGTTGTGTATGCGAGAAAAATTAACTGTTGCACTTAGCTAGTCTTGATAATCATTATCTGATTATATTGTTAGACAATGTTATCACTCTCCTCCCACCATTTTGTTTATATAACTTTTAATTGTCGTATTAACTGAGTAGACAAGCCAATGTGTGACCACACTGTTCAAAACTTACTGCACAAATACATCACACCTGATGTTGATTATTTGATATCTAATCGCTGATATAACAGTAGAGTCCAGTCGTTGTTGTAGAGTAACGTTTCACTGAGCTTATGAATTCAGTGACCATATTACCACATCTAATACTGTTATTATGTTTTCTTACAGTTACAAAATGTCTTTTATTTTAATGTTTGCAGCATACCTATCGCTTTCACCGGGTTATGGCGTATCATTACTTTACTTGGACAATGTAGTAATCTTATTTCCTGGTCAAGGCCATTGCGTGTATTTAGGATTTGGACTCGTTTGGGTACGACTTGTGAAATTACCATACGAAGACCTGCACTGCCAATGACTCCTATGGCTGATCTTAATCGGCGTTGTGGATTTAGATTTTTCACCGATACAAATATCGGAGTATGTGCTCAAAATTGTTTTCGCGCTTCACTGAATTGGTTACGGCTCTCACTTGTCGCGGCTGTACTACTTGGCATCCTGCCAACAGCCTTAGGACTATTGGTTAATTTTATCTTCATTGTGCCGTTCCGCGTTGGAGCTAGAAAATCTATTGTCATTGGATTCTGGGAGGTACGCTTTTCATAAAGTTCTTAACCATGCTTTATGTGTGCGCTGGTGGTTCGTTCAGTGATAGGATACGCGCAAACCATGCACGTGGTCCTGGATTGGGTCCCCGACCGACGTGCTCCTAAACCTCGCTTAGCCAGAAATGAAGGAATTTAGGCCTGTGCCTATCCGCTCCGCTGCGTAAAGAAACGAGCACTACTGCAGCTGGATCTTCAAACCTCAAGCTTGAAACCCTATGCCCCACTCGGAACGCAAAGGAATAAAATAATGCTGTAATGTAGATTACTATGTTTTAGTGTTACTTGTACTAATATCTATTCTATATTTCAGTGCAAAACATTTAGCGAGATTACATGATAAATGATGTATGTTTCCAGGTCTAAGTGATCAAGTTCTGTGAGATCCTTAATCCTCGATAAGGTTAACTGTAAATTTTGTGCATAGACACACCAACTTTGCGAATTTCAACACGTTTCTTTCCAAAGATTATCTTTTCATATACCTCTAGACTGATAAACATAGGTCTTGAAACATATATTCACTTTACAAACGCTTTCCTCTCAAATATACTAAAAATTAGATGTTAAGAAAGCACTTTTACCTTTAGAAGGATATAGCTCCGACATTAACAGATTGATTCATCTGTATACCATATGATTGTGATATTTGCAGCTCAGTTTTTCAAATTTCATTTATTCAAGGCGTCAGTGTTCTTAGCAAATTAAAATTAGAACTGCTTATGACCGGCAAAATTTTGAGCATTACAATTATTTAAGACTTCATATTAAGACATAGATTAGTCGGTTACTGAATTACTTTGGTTTTCTGGTCCAGTCATATAACCTTTTTAGACCCATAAAAATCGATCAAATAGGAACTGTATTGCTCGTTTTCACATTGTCTGAATGCAAATCTGTCATCTCCTTCAGTATTGAAATATGTCTGTGAACTGTTCGATTTTCGAGATATCACCAAGTCCGGTTCAGGATAGAATTTCAAAGGCTGAATGACATCAAACAATTCTCATCGGCATTCTAAGCTTCAAATATTCTTTATTGCAGTATGACGCACTATATACTACAATACCACGTTGATATTTGTCTTTTCTTTGTTTTTTAGCATTGGATATTCGGTATGATGCTCTTGAAAGTGTCTATTTTACTTATTCTAATTGGACCTCCTTGGTGGTTGCGCAATCGTTTAGAGATCTTCCACGATGAAATCTTACATCATCGACAAGATGCTCGTGCTACTCGTCTACTCTGGGCAATTGCACCATTGCTCGTAGCTATTGGATTATCTTTAAGTGTACCTTTTTTGCTAGCGCATTATATTAGTCCACTATTTGGTAAGACTTTTACATTTAAAAAGAGTTTTATCAGTAACATGATTTTTTTTTGACACATTACGTGAAAAAATTAATGATAGGTGCCAAGCCAGCGAAAACAGGCAGACATTGGGCTGGACTGTATTTCATTGTGAAATGAAATTCAGTAGCACGTGCACACAAGTCACTATCTATCAGTAGCCAATAAGCTCTAGACTCTTACTTCATCTGTCTAGTTCTCCGACGTCTATAATTGTTGTCTAACTAATATAAGTTGTTGATGAAATCTCCCTTGTAGTATGTGTACAAATTAGTCTCTTAAACCTTTCAGTTTAGAACCAAGTGAAAATTTTGTTTTAATTAACCTGCAGCAATGAAATACCTCACACATTTTAAATGCAACAGCTTTGTAAATACTCTCAAGTAAGTATAGTGTAATTTGGCGTTTCGGCAGTTCATATTGATCTCTCTGAATGTGCAAAGAAATAACCACTTTTGATTTTTAATGCTCACACTAGACCTCACGAAATATGGATGATTTAAAGAACGATTTCCAGTTCAAGTGAAGATACTTTCTTATCCTTTAACCCATGAATGTAATAGGGAATTTATGCCTACTTGCTAAAAATTAATATTTAAAAAGAAATCTCACCGTACAAGATCGGATAAATGTTTAAGTAATACAAAATTAACCTGGGTAATGCCTCCAGTAACCGTAGTTATGTGGAAAAACATGCAACAGTAAATTTAAACGCATTTTTCGCCGAAATAAACTCAGTGAACACACCTTAAATCTATCGTTATACACGATTTACAACTGCAACTGTCAGAGGAGTATGAGAATATATAACAAGACTGGACATTCAACTTATATATATAGGCGAGCTAGACGACTTGGTTATCTCACTGAGTCATAAAAAGTACCCCTCGTCTTAGGTGAGTCATGCAGTGCATTTTAGCAATGGGACTTCAGAGGCAAAGCCAATCATTCACTTTTCATAATTTAAAAGAAGCTGTCATACGCAAGTACACTTTGCACAATGAGTAATAAACTGCGTCTATTTCTTTTCAACCATAGCATTAGATAGAACAGTCGCCTTCCGCTATGTGTACCCATCTCTTTTCGTCTTGGCTGTGCTTGTTTTCTTATGTGCTTTGTGCATCGACCAGATACGACGTCTCTACATACATATTAAAGATGAAAAGTAAGTCCTTCATGATTTTTCAATGATTGTTTAATGTTCACATTTTTAAATATGTGTAACGAATTTGATTTCTCAACTGAATAGTACAATAGCCTTTAATATTTACTATTAGAACACTGTGAGCAACTGCGCCACACAATATCTTATGGTGTTTCTCCGAAGTCTGGGATACCGCCCAGATGCTGGTTGTCTTAATGGGCCACTTCCAGAGCCTTTTACTTGAAGTCTGAATCACAAGACAGTAGAACAGTCAAGAGTTAGTTCCCATGTTTGCCGGATTCTGATGCCTATGTACACCATACATTTGGAATCAGGGTTTCTCAGCTCGCCTAGGTAGACCAGCACTTCCACCAATCCGATTGTAAGCGCCAGACGTTGGCATTCACCCTTTCACTTTTGTGAATGTCTATCTGAATTTTAAACGTTAGGAGGTCTCTTGGCCTATATTGTTTATCAAAGATTTTAAATTTAGAGGATAAATCATCACAATTTTGTTTCTTATTAATTTCAGATATTTAGTTGGGAGACAACTAGTGAATTTTCGTCCACCATCACCAAGTCAGTCTTTGATCCCAGCATCGTCAATCAGAAGTGATTAAGATGTATGTATGCTATACAGAAAGATATCTGTAATCAACATCCTCAGTACTTTTTCCACTTACTCAGATGATAACAGAGTTTTCAAATAAAATGTTTATGTGCAACTAAGAAGTGGTCTCATCAGTCATTTTCTCATAGTTCAACTTAACTATATAACCGCTGAGAAATTCTTTACAGCACTGAAAGAAATTCACACACATTATTTGCACAGATGATAAGAACGCATACAACACACGTACAGTTTACACAAAAATTCTGTATTTGAAACTCAAACTTATGTAAATTGTTTTCACACTATTATTACTTGGTCCTGTTCTTGTGTAATTCCATTGAAAAATCTGTCTCCTCAATGTTCACTTTAAAATGCTGAAAGAGAAAGAATAAGCCGTGAACAAAATCAACGATTGATTCGGGAAGGAAGATTCACACTTATCATAATGAGATTGGGGGGCTTAGAAATGAGACCAGTTCTGTTTGAATAAATACCGCTTGTCAAGACTGTCACTAGTATGTATGCAATATCTCTATTGTCTTTTAGTGCACGCAGTGACAGAACACTCTTTTAAACCTTAACAAAGCATTGGTATATCTGGAATATACCGACTCTACATTTCCACGAACAGGGGCTTTGCACTACATACAAAAGCACCAAAATCGTGGTAGCTGATTAAAATTTAGGTTCTCAAGGAAAACCCTTGTATTTCCAGGTGTATTGGTTATGAGGAAAACTGTGGAGATTTGCCTCATTGACGTAAGTCAATGGGTACCGGGTACGAATATCGCTACAAATGAATAGTGTAATTATATTGAGAAACCTTATTCCTCAGTGCGGTCTTAACTTTCAACTTCAATCAAATAGTTAGTTACGAGACCCACTCTACGGTCATGCAAACTAATATGAATTCAACAGCTCTCATATAAAATGTCACTGCTTACAGTATTTACAAATGCATTGACATTTTCATCCTCTCCTTCCTCCTTTATACGAACGAAGTGCGTCCCAGGACACCAATGCACGTACCGATTCGACTAACATGAAAGCAATCAAAAAAGTACAATGTTCAAACCAAACCGCCAGCATAATAACTAATAATAATAAGAGGAGAATGACTTCACATGTGATGTATTTATATACAAGAAACTAAACTACGGAAGCTATTTCCGTGATTAAAACTTTGTATGCAGCATAATAGTGCTGTGGTGAAAAACAACAATTTCCCAGCACGGTAACATGCTGCTACTGATCGATCTATTGTATAACCCTTCTGTGTCATGAAGTTGATTACTCAGATTTACTTATTCCGTTTGACAGGAAAATATATGTCACCTTTCCAGTTGCGTTTTCTGTTCGACCGCCATGCCAAACGCCTGATACCAATTTACATTTACAAACTGAAACACTAAATAAAGCAGCAATACCATTTGCATAAATAAGCTGAAGCAGTGCCGCTTACTTTTTTTTTAAAAACAGTTTAACCTTCGTCCATGCATTTTGTTGAATACAACTTTAAAAATATTTAGCACTTTACATCGAGAAGTCAATAGTTAATTCTCTTGCCTTCTTATAAATAAACAATAATTCTAAAGCTAGAAGTGAATTACCATAGGATATGTTACTTTGTGGGCGAACAAAACATCAGACCTATTAGCATTAAGACGTTCAATTGAAACTTCACTCGCCTACAAAAGCGTCATTCGTGTTGAGCCCCTGGGCGTGTAACATATTTTGACATACAATATTCTGCATGTGTGCGGCAGTCTACAAATATTTATCTTCCTGAATGAGACTGTTCGCAGCAAAACAGTAATTTAGCTTTTTGAGGAAGAGAGGACTAGGAGCGTTAGTAACTCTAACCGTCAGTGCTACTAGACAGACTCAATTAGTCTACCTATAACACTTGATGATATACGCTGAATAGGCCTACGGGACTCGTAATCATATCTAGACTATAGGAAGCTTATGCATAGTGAATTATATTTTTGTGTAACTTGCCAGCACAGGCTTTTTTACTCTAAGACGTGTGTGCTGGTTATGACAATGACCGGTCGTTCAGGTTGAAGTAATCAAAATGTGAGCTGCGTCAGAACGTCGTATGCTCAATCCAACAGATCACGCTTCATACGTTAAGAATTACAAATATCTCTGGTGATATGACAGATAGTCATAGGACAAACGTATAAGAAAGGCATTAAATGTTTTCTGAGTTGGAAAATATGTTTAACAACTTCGTAGGTGGAGTGGAAAACATACCGTTAGTGTAACATTTTTGGTATCTTCCATTTCTTTATTAGTAACAGGAACTGTAGATTGCTGACCACTTGTAGTCCTAGTTAGAAAAAAATTACAACAAAGCATCATTATATCATTGGGAACTGCTTCAGTGTTTCGCACAACTGTATAGAAAGACTTCTCAGCAAAGCTCAAACATCAAACTAAATGTAATGATTATTGTACAAGAGATATCGAACAATTCCAAAAAGTACCTACAGACAATCGAAGAATTAAACACACCCAACATTAAAATATTACGGCAGAGATAAACTTATTTTCCTGCAACCTCATCTCTAACCACTATTATTGACTTAAATCCATCAGTAATTTTTACAATACCGCCATCAAATTAGGTGACCATTTTTGGGAAGGGCCTAAATAATACATGTGACAGTTGTTAGTAATCAGTTGAGTCAAAAATATTAGCCACTGTTGTACTCCACAGGCTTTGCCAAACATTGATTCCCGAAGACAGGCTTAGTTTTATTCAGGTCGTGGACAAATCAGTCATTTTTCGTCAGTTGTTAGAACACCGCCATATGTATTACAGTTTAACAACTATTTGTTGTTGACATCATGGCTGTCTTCAACTCACTGGATAGAACTATTCCTTCTCAACTGTCTCCTCGATAGAATCGTCCCTGAGCTTTTTAACATCCTCAAAGTTTTATACAAACTACCAAACGCATACAACTACTTGAATATGAGGAAAATGGTCTTACTATGTGATTACATAGAGGCCACTAGCCAGTTGATGGCCGTCGTTCCTGAGTATATGGTGCTTTGGCACCGTCCAAGCGTAGAGTACAGTTACCGGATTGGCAGCAGCCTGCGCGGCTTTTTATTTAAAGTACAATATGGGCATCGGAAAATGCGCCGAACAATAATATATAAGGAAAATAATGAGAGAATGAATGAGGGACATCATCGAAAAAGCAAGCATGCATATTTGTCGAGGTCATTCAGCACTCATTACTTCACCGTACTTTCAGAAAGGTAAGAAAAAAGGAAATCGCAGCATGCTCGCTATTGATTGCGATCTTTGGTCATTTCTGATAATGTTTCGAACTATGGAGGTGTGACGTTCCAACCGACCAACTTAACACAAATGTCCTTCATCCGACGACGCCATTTCACAGGCTGACCACCTCCCCTCTTTTCCATTCAGTCCCAGGGCTAGAGTACGGAGGCCTCTTGAGTGACTTTCGTACCACACTTCCAAGCCGATGTTTCCAGATGACAACACTTGGTGAATAGTAATCGCCACCGGGCCCAAACATACGCTGCCAGACCTCAGAATTACTCACACGATGATCGGATGCAAACGATTCTATGGAGACAGCGATGATCAAATCGCAGAGTAACCGCACATCCCCAGCTCGCAGAGGCCACGTTTCACAGCCGTACAACAAGACTGGGTGCACCAAAGCCTTGTAAACCTGACCCTTGCCGGCGCCAGAGGTGTCTAAAATTGGCGTATACCAACCCAGCTAACACCATACTTCCAGAGATCTTTTCCGTCAGGCCTTCGCCAGCACTCACACAACTGAGCAAATACACGAACTTGTCGGCAACTTTAAGCGATTCACCTGCAAGAGTCAGTGCAGGTACATGGTCTTGCCAATCTTGCAACAGTGCTTTGTACTTGGACGGCGTAAAGCACATACTATTACTTACAGACGCTAATTTAGGCAGCCTGCATGTTATCACACAGTGAATCAATATCCTCTGCATACTAAAGGTCAAAAAGTCTTTCTCGACCACCACGCACGCCTGCTGCTTACAAGTCAGTTCCTTATGGGACTTAGTAAAGATAGGTACAATGATGACTTCACTCCATTCATTCTCATTTTCCCATACTTTCCAGAATCTCGCCGTCATTAAAAAGGGCCGGAAGTAGATTGTTTGGGACGTATGCCTCGTAGCATTTAAACACTTAGATGTCGTTTCGGACTTTCGCTTTCATTGGTGGGTCAGTACTGACCAAACACAGAGCTCCCGATAGATAGCTGCTACCTTGACGTGGTGGTAAGGCTTGCACATCGCATTGACTCAACAAGCTACATCGGCTGGAACTATTCTTCCTGCAGGTCCTACCATGCCAGGAAGGTTGTTAGGATAGCGATTAGACTAAAAGCAGTTACTGGCATAGTGTAAGAAATGTTTTTACACGATGCTGGGGATCTGTGAGTGAAGTCGTACTTCTAGGGAACAGGGATGTAACAGCAGTGAGGTGTTTTCCTCAGATGACCAGCATGCCAGCTATACTCTCTACCCACTCCGGAAAGAAGGGGTTAGATAAGTTCGACCAAAAAAAATGTACATCCCAACTTACCCTCCGGTGACCCGTAACCGGCGGCAAGTTTACCGATACGAAACCAATCTCAGAAACCAGATCATACAGACCGTGTGTGACTAGCCCCAAGCACTTGTCCCCTGGGCTCTGTGGTCACGCAACACTCTTTCTGTTTCAGGTTCCCGAAGAATCAATCAACTTCCCCAGTGTGCACAGCCGGGAAGTAACGACCGCCCACACACTTCCAAAAGCACACGAAGCCTCCCTGAGCATCACTCTCCCTTACTCACATCACCTTCCTCATCTTGCTTCTCTACTACAGTTAGCACTATTCTGCAGACTAGTGAGTCATCTTCACTCCACTCTGTGTCCACAAACAAAGGTGAGAGCCATACAAACACCCCAGATAGCCTTATAAAGCCACGTCGCCAACTTCATATAGGAGCTTTTAACGTCATGACCCTCTGTCAAATCGGACAACAGGCATCACTAGCAAGAACTCTGCAATCTACAGCCATGGATGTATGTTGTGTTCCAGAGACACGCATACAAGATCCGAGAGTGGAAATTCACTTGACCTCACCCGGTCAACAAGGTGAATCTGCAAAATTCACTTTAAGGGTGTCACGACACTCTTCAGCTGGTTCGCTTGGTCTCGCAGGTGTAGGAATAGCATTGAGTGTTAGGGCAGAAAAATCACTTCTTGACTGGATCCCAGTAGATAGTCGTATGTGTGCGGCCCGTCTGAACGGGTCCGTTAAAAGAAGGGAAGACGGCGCTACCCATCGTTGTCTTTTCGTAGTCTCCGCTAACGCCCAACTGGCTGCAGTTCGGATGGACTAAGGGGTATTTTCTACCTGAAACTGTCTAGTTTCCTGAAAAAGCAAAACGCTCAGATACAGTTTTTTCAGCAGGCGACTTCAATGCCCAAGTAGGGAAGTTGTGCCAGACTGAGAAGTATGTAGGTGGTACATATGGAGTTCCCTGCCAACGAACCGACAACGGTGATCGTCTTCTACAGTTTTGCTCAGATAATCATCTGTCCCTAGTCAGCACTAACTTTAGGCACAAAGAGAGATATTGTGTAACCTGGCGACCTTCATCACCAAATCAACGCTGGACTCAGATTGACCACATAGCCATAGGGTATCGTTAGCGAGGGTCACTAGAAGACTGTCGCTCCTTCTGGAACACGTGCGTAGACTCTGGTCACGCTTTGGTTCCCGCACGCTTATGCTTACGACTAAATGGACATGAGAAATTGACGGCAGCGAAACAGTTACGTCCCCAACTAGATCGAGACACTGAGTCCTTATTTAAGGAAGAAATAGCGAAACGAGTTTCTGAGGTCGACAGCAGGACTTCTCCCGAGGTAGACTGGCACAACACACAGTTAGTTGTAGACACAGCTGTAAAAGCCCTTAATAACCTAAAACCAAAAGTTAGTCAGAGCCATTGGATCTCCACCACCTCATCCGAACTGATTGACGCAAGAAGACTGATTCCGGCGAGCTCTCATTATGATGAGGAGCGAAAGCTACTCAAACGCAAACTAACAAAAAGTCTTCACAACGACCGTGAACAGTGGTGCGAGAAAAAAGCGAAAGAGATGGAAAAGGCATCGGCGATTGACAACACCGGACAACTACTTAGGCTTATCAGGAAAAAAAGTGGTAACAGGCAGACGATTAGTGAAGCAATCTCGGAGAGAAATGGCACCATAATTAGCTCCCAGGATAGACGACTAAAACGTTGGAAGGAACACTACAAGGAGCAGTTTAATTGGCCTACAACCACGCTTAACCTGCCGAACATCCAACACCTCCCTGAATGAGATATAAACACAGGTCCTCCTTCCTTAACTGACGTTACTAAAGCTGTCACTAATCTGAAACAAGGCAAAGCAGCAGGACCTGATCGAATGACTCCAGAGGTATTTAAGTACGCTGGAGACAGTTTACTGTCTGCGTTAACTAAGGTACTAGGCAGTGTCTGGGAATCAGGTGAAGTTCCGTCGGGTTGGTGTAACTCATTGATTATCCCGATATACAAGAAGGGAGACAAGTCTTCCTGTGATAATCACAGAGGGATTTGCTTGACCAACACGGTATCTAAAGTTCTAGGCTCAATAATCATGCGTAGACTAAGTGGTGCTCGGGAGGAGCAAACACGAGAGAACCAGGAAGAGGGTGTATTGGTCATATCTTCACCCTCCGACAGATTGTGGAACATAGACATACTTACAGGCATTCAACAATTGCCATCTATTTTGTCCTGAAGGCGGCATTCCATTCCATCGACCAAGAGGTACTCTGGTGATGCTTGGCTTTGAAAGCAATGCCCAGAAAATACATTACACTGATCAAGGCACTCTACTCGTACTCATGCAGCCAGGTGAGGGCTTACGGCGGGTTGTCATCTGAAGTGGTGACGACTAGTGGCGTCCGTCAAGGATGCCCATTATCCCCATTTCTCTTTAATTTCATCATAGATGTACTACAAATGCACTTAATCCTAACTCACTTCAGAGACTCAGGCATTGACTTGCTACCAGGGAATGTTTGACATGCGGTTCGCTCCCGCCAAATGCAAGATGATGTTACAGGATTGGACTACACCGACTCCTAGATTAGAAATAGGAAGTGAAGTGGTAGATCACGTTGACCACTTCACTTATTTGGGAAGTACCATCAGCGTGCACCAACGGGTTGATCGCTGACGAAGTCTCAGCACGGATACAGAAAGCTAGTTTCGCATATTCCAGTTTACGCCGTCTCTGGCGTAGACGTGATATCCAGCTGGCTATCGGCTAAAAGGCGGGTGTACTGTTCATCAGTCCGCTCTGTCCTCCTTTATGGCTGTGAGACCTGGCCATTGAGAGTGGAAGACATGAAAAGATTAGCTGTCTTTGATCATATGTGTCTGCGTTCTATCTCCCGTGTGAGGTGGCATAATAAGGTGAGCAATATTGAGGTTATGCGTCGAGTGCTAGGTAAGGGGAGGGGGCAATCAATCGACGAGGCTGTGAAGCCACATCGAGTGAGATGGTTAGGACATGTGTTACGCATGCATAGCAATATTAGCTTATATAGGGTCAGGCTGGAAAAGAGCTAGTGGCGGTCAAACCAAAACGTGGCACCAGTCAATGAAATCTACAACAGTTAGTTTAAGCCACGTAGGAAGGTGTAGACTTTCTGATTGGGGTCGTCGGGACGGTAAAAATCAATGGTTGGAAACAATTGGTGATATAGCTCAAAATCGTTTTCAATGGCGCAGATGCATCCACTCCTTGTGACTTATGATTTCCAATGAAACTGTTTTGCTCTTCGTTATAACTGTGTATATTATGCATTTCTCCTACTTTCTTCTATTGCTTTGTGTGCTACATGGAGTGTGGCGATTTTAACTTCCGTAGATTGGTGCAAAGTTCTACGTCGAAAACAGACAAACAGACTCTAAGGCCACAAGACTATACCCTGGTAACAAGTCAATCCCTAATTCACTATATTCATCTAAGGTTGATTCCATTATTACATATTTGATGAAAGTAAACAAAAGTGGGGACAGTGGGCATTTCTGATGGACACCATTGGTTGTCATCACTTCAAATGACAACCCTCCGTAATCTCTTACACGACTATGTGAGTTCGAGTAGAGTGTCTTGACTAGTGTGGTGTACGTCTGCCGGAAAACTTTACCACACCACCTCTCGGTCGAAAGAGTCGAATTCCGCCTTCAGGTGTTGGTCACCAGTAAGTACGCCTGTGTTTCAGCACTTGTTGAGTGGTCAATATATGATCGATACACACTCCTCCTGACGTGAAGCACGACTAGTTTTCTCGCGTAAGTTTCTCCCCAACACCGCTGCATCTGTGTGTGATTATTGAGCCTAGAACTTCAGATACCACATTAATTAAGCCTATTCCTCTATGATTTTCATAGGAGGACTTGTCTACCGTCTTATAAACTGAGACAATCAGTGGCCTGCAGCAGTCTAATGGAACTACCTCTTACTCCCAGACATTACCTCATAACTTAGTTAATCCAGACAGCAGTTAGTCACCACCATACTAGAACGCCTCTGGAGTCATTCCATGACGTCCTGTAGCTTCTTCTCAATCCAGATTATAGACAGCCTTGGTAACTTTAGTTGTCAGTCTCAGACACGTGTTCAACCATTTCCTCCATGAATAGGGACTTGGTGTCCTGATCAGGTTGGGGGGGGGGGCGCAACACCTTCGTCTCTGTCTGTCTTTTATGTCCTTTCAGTCGTAGGTATATACACTCGCGGACTGAGGAGCGACAGTCCTCTACCAACCCTCGCTATATAATCTATTTGGGTCCATCGTTGATTTCATTATCGAGGTTGCCAAGTAAGGCAATGTTTCTCCTTGTCACTGAAGTTAGTAGTAACGAGGAACAGATGACCATCTGAACAGAACTGTAGAAGACGATCACCTTTGGCGGTTCACCGGCATAAGACACCATAGATTCAACCAATATACTTTTCTGAGTGGTACAACTTGCCTACTTAAGCATTGGAGTCACTTACTACGACTATGTCTGACAGCTTTACTTTCAGCAACAAACTAGACAGCTTTTGATAGAACTCATTCTTTACTTCGTCCAAACTGCAGTCTGTTGGGGTACAAGTAAAGATTATGGGAAAACGTGGATGGGTATCACAATCTTTGTTTCTCCTAACGGATCCCTTCACTCGGATAGCACACATCCACTAGGATCCAGTCAACTAGGGATTTTTCCCCTCAATGCTACCTCTACACCTGCAAGTCCTTGAGAACTAGTCAAAGAATCTCCTAAAACTTTGTAGATCCAAACCTAGCCAAATACTTAAACTGTTTCTGCAGTTCTACGAAATATTTTATACTTATAATAAAATGAAAGATTATTAAAGTAAAATTATCGGAGGTTAAACAAATAGATGAGTGATCTATTTAATCGTATTTCGTTGGGTATAACCGCTTATGATTTTATCAGATGTCAGAATGTCTTTTTTTCAAGTTTCCAATCCAGTAAAAATCAATAGCACTTATGCAATTATGTGTAACAGTTGAGTTTGAAAAAAAATGAGCCCGAACTTGAGCACAACTACCAAAAAGAGTTTCCTAATCTTGAGTTCTCAGGTGAATTTAGAGCATATTTCATTGGAATGACAACTTGTTTGCGCTTCCTCCATGAGTTTCTGAAAGACCTTTAGTCTAAATGGGCTATAAGCTTTGTAAGAATTCGTACATAGAATTCATTTTCAGTCCAGTTAGTATTAACATGAATTTAAAAATAAAATGCTCTGTTGTAATCAACCAACTGTATCAGTATCTTCAATTTAATGCTAAACAAAACTACTTACTTTTCCAAATTTCTGCGAACTTATCAACCAAGTATTTCACCATTGGAGGATATCCTAAAATCGTGTCAGGATGTTTCACTTGACATAGTAGACGTAATGGAGTAAGAGGATGGGTACCAAAATCTCTTTGAAGGGTTATTTCATCGCGTATACTAGGAAATGAACTGGCATGTATAGCACCAACAAGGGCCATATATACACCGATTTTCTGTTTAACCATGTTTGTAGCATTTGTAACTTGTTCCCTCATTCGGGTACGAACAGGATCTGTCGCAGAATTACAAGTGTCCTTTCCATTATCAAGGTCGGAGGCTATGTTGGCAATAGAGGTCAAACTACGGAAAGAAAAGTGAAAAAGCGTAAAATAAGAGAAACGGGTCAATATATATACATATATATTACTAACATTACATTTGAGACTAGATATCTAATCGCAAAACGGTTTTTCATGTGAAGTTGGGAAGTAACAATTGAAGAAGATACATCAAAACATAGAACAGGTATTGCGACTTTATTTCATAGAGAAAATCAACGAACAAGCGGGAACGCATAGTTTTTCAATACAGTGGAAGAATTACAGACCACTGGGAATTGAAACGCCTCATCTTCCTAGTTGACAGTCTTCCATTGCTTCCACTTATCGACTTGCAAACAATCCAAAATCTTTAAAACATAATTTAGGCAACAGGTTCATGTTCATAAGAAATTTTCGGCACATGGAAAGAAAAATGGGTAACCTTGCAAATAACGAAGCCATTAGTTTATAAACCCCACTCTGGAATATACAGTGTAAATAAGTAATAAAATTTAATAACTGATAGCACTAAACAAAAGTATCAAAACAGATAAACGTAAATGACTGAAACGAGCGAATAATAAACTCTGAGTAACATACCAAGTTAGAAAGTCCAGGATGGCGGCAGAGGACAAATCAGATAGATTTGGTAAAGGTCGTCCAGCTACCAGTGCCATCATGAAGCGATACAATTGTCCATAAGGTACGTATGAGGGGTTTGGAGTTTTCTTATGCACTGCACGGTAATCTGATACTTCCTGTCTGTACAGTTTTTGTAAAACCTAGAACAAATTATCCGACACTTAAAGTGAAAATTATATATATATATATATATGTATAGTCAATAGTAATTCATAAAATAATTACTAACGGTGCATATGATACTAAGACATTCTGTCAAAACATTCAGTTAGATGCACCCATCAACATGTATGACAAAAAGCCTTCATTCACTAGCTCCGGAAAATTAGAAGCAGGTCGACTTTCATTATTTCATTCGGAAGAAACTAACTTCATCAGCCCAACAGTATTCTTACCTTATACTCCGACACGCAGGTGTCGTACACAGTACTTACTCAAGAGTGCACGAGACCATACATAAATTTGAATGGTCAGCCTATCTTAGCAATTAAAAGATGAAAAAATGACTCTGAATGGTGAGTTATTCACAAAGTGGACAAAAATATAAAAAAGGTTGTGTGCCCGACTTCTCTGTACTGCATAAGCCCCCACCATATACATGGACAAGCCGGTGGTGTCTTCAAAAAAAGTTAGTCCAAACTCTACGGTCCAATTAGTTCTGTTCGGCTCCTTATTATAATATTATTATTCCCTTGAGTTCCAAGCGGAAAATAGGGCTTCAACAACACGTCTCCACATCTTCTGCCATCCTCTCCAGCTGGGTCCACGATTGTCCATAATCTCTAACCTCCACCTCACAATAACTCATCCATGTCACCCTCGCACCGACGATCCACTTGTCGCTTCCTACTGGGATGCCACTCGAGCAAAAGCCTGGTGTGCGATGTCATTCGACGGCCTCCTCAATAAATGCCCAATCCATCTCCATTTCCGCCTGCATATTTGTTGAGCGATCGGCTCGTGGTTGGTTTGTTCTCAGACAGAGTTTCTTGTTACTAACTGTTTTCTGGCTGGCCATTTCATCTTCATTATGGAGCCAGGGAAAGCAGCTGTTGATAAAAGTCTGCAGTTGGCTGTTGGAAATCCTTTTCGTCACTGACACGCAGCGCAAGTTTCTGCACCGTATAGAAAGACCGCCTTCACACTGATGTTGCAAATGAGAATCTTGTCCCTTATGCTGAATACAGGAAATTTTAAACTGGTTTCAGGTTGATGAAGGCGTGTGTATCTTGCTTTTCCGATTCTGACCAGTTTTGACATCTTCGTGCGTTCTGACTGCCCGTAGTTGAAACGATGCTTCCTAGATAAGTGAAGGCAAGAAGTAACCGCTGTTAAATCTCTCCTGTTGATGATGATTGGTGCTGGTTTTTGTTGTTGTTGTTACTGTTCGTTGGATATCTTCATCACCTCCGTCTTCTCTATGTTCACTTGGAGTCCTGTCTTCACTGCCTGCCTCTTATGCCAGTTTGTTAGTTTTCGCCTGCCTGTAAGTCTTCCAGTTTATGTGACATTAGACATATATCATCCAGGAGCGAAATCCAGATCTTCTAGAGTCTTCTCATCGGTGGTCCAGCGCACTCCTGTCTCCTCACTCCCAAGCACAGTCTGACGCATAATCCAGTCCACCACAATTAAGAATATCACCGTGAGTGATAATAGACAGCCAGCCTCTCTTACTCCTGCGTTCACCTCGAACGCTTCGCTGAGTTTTCTATTATGGATCACCTGACTAACACGTGACATTGTCATATAGCCAGCTGCTGAATGAGGTTGATAAAGACTTGGGCACTGCACGCTGTAGTGTTGAAGTAGCTTCCGAAATGCGTCTCTATCGGCGCTGTCTGTCGAAGGCCTTTTCGAAGTCGATGAAGTTGAGGTAGAGAGAGATTTGACTGCCACTATATGCTTCATTCGATGTTCAGCTCCCTAGCTTTCGTTTCTTCGATTTCGTCAATTTTGATCTTCAGTTATAAAAACTATTACTTCAATTAGAAGTTCTCCCCCAACTGCAAATTTAATTGACTAATATTTCCGGACCTCCATATCCTAGTTACGCAGTGTGTAACAAATGTTTTGCAATAATCAGTGATACTATGCTGTCTCTTAAGCTGAAGTAGGTGCAATGGATTCAGAAAGTTGAACCTTATACCTGGAAATAATCAAATTAATAAACGACGTTACCACTAAATTACCATGTAATATCCTTACAAGAACCGTAGCAAAGATACGAAACAGTATGAATATCAATGATTGTCTATAATAGACGACTCTGTCAGATTTAACTTCAACTATTCCATTTGCAAATGCTGTGATGGAAAATGCTGAACACTTTGTGCTTACAATAATCATAAACAATATTTCGCTTAGAGAGGATTGCTATGAAAATCGAGATAACTTTAGCTAGTTGGATTCTGAATTTACTCCAAACACAGTACAAATCAATTTGTTCAGTTATCACGGACTTTTGAAGATCAAACTATTTGCTATTCGGTTGCACAATCTTGTCTTTAATTATTGGGCAGCTAAACAAGAGTGTTAAGAGATTCTTAAATCGATAGTATTAGGTTAATCCTCCTTTAGTTCTTTGTCATCTTATTAACTCCCTACTTGCGGCATGTATTACTTACAAGAATTAGTAAGCAATATACCGATGGTCTGTTGCAACAATCTTCAATAGCAGAGCAACAGACTAACTTGTAAAGAGGAAGAATGAAGATAACTGTGAAACAATACCGAAACCATGAAATGAAGACAACAGGAGAAGAAGACGAATAACTTCTCCGAAATGAAATTCCAACGTAAGATTTTTACATCTTACTATCATTGTACACAACTCTGCAAATAAACAATATGCTACCAAATACTGCTGTGTTCATTTGCATCGTTAAGTCAAACTTTTTGGTGTTTATGTAACACAAGGTTTGTGCAGAACAAAGCATTAATGAGGATAATAAAGATGAAGTAACAGCTTCAGGACTTTTAGGGAGAGCTGACTCAGTGACCAAATCACTGTGCAGCTTACCTACATATACCCAAGTTTATTTAATTCATAATATAAATCAATATCAGATATTGTTCTCTATGGAAATTCGTTGATACTCTAAACTTAATTGGTCAAACAATTTAAGATTACTATGTGGACTTCAGGAAATTTCTTCATTAATTATTTTGTCTACATGGACTACCGTGCGTCGGTGGCACAGCGGTTAGCATGCTCGCCGACCATGCACATGGTCCGGGCTTCGATTACCGGCCGACGCACTCCTTTAACTCACTTATCCAGTAATAAGACTGGTAAAGAGGGAAGGTTGGGCATGAGGTTAGCAACCCCATCCTGTAAAATAAGCACTGCTACAGAAACTTCAAGCCACAAGCTTGAAGCCCTATGTTCCACTGGGGAACGTGAAGGAAAAAAAAAACATGGACCACCACTCAAGTGTCAAACAAAAGCACTATTACATGCCTACTTCATCATCTATACAAATAGTTCAGCCAAATGCGTTTTCGAGCTTCGTATAGTTTGACAAAAAGTTATTAAACACGGTAATAAAAGAATACTGGATTTATGTGGAAAACACTTTCAGTTATCATATAACACAAAGTTGTCTTTAATGCTCTGAAATCACTCACTGGTTTTCCTAGAATACATGCTGTTTATAAAGTGGGATCATGAGGATAGTAGTATGTATATAAAATAATGTATTGAGAATGAAAGCATTTTCCAATCTCCAGAACAAGATCTAAAATATTTATTGCCCTGCATATTTCTGTTTATAGCACTGACCGCAACCCTCAATGATAAGTACTTAATGTGAGTACTATAAACCTACCTCACTCAGTGCTGCACAACTATTATATCGTTCGGTAGTACAGTATCTGGCAGTCCGTAACAATATCTGCACATAGAAATATTATTTGCAAAATATGTACAGAACATACATCCATTGGTTCTTCAGGTTTTTGATCAGGAACTACAACGTCTCGACCTACAAGAAGTATTCAATTTTGAGGGAAATTCGTTCATAACATACCTTCCAACTCACTTTCATCTACATCCATTAGAGCCTCCACAAGTTCATCAACCTAAAAATCATTAAAAGTGTGATGATCTAAAACCATAAAAAATTGACTGACTGGGTTTCAACACAAAACTTTGCAATGAAGTGCAGTAGTCCACGTTACCATACCCCATGTATCACACAATGGTAGAGGAGAAAAAAGAAAATCAAACGAACTACAGTGGGCGAAATGTAAGCGAGGAACAAGAGTAAAATGGAAAGACATGATAGTTCATTGTAAACGGGAGATTACAAACAGTGAATGTGACACTGAGAATGATTTTGAGCCATATCACCATTAGTCTCCAGACATTGGTACTTATTATCCCAAGGTCCCCAGCCAGGCAGTCTATACCTGCCTAGGTAACTCGAACCAAGAAAGACTTCATGGACTGATAGCACATTTTGGTTTCACCGCAACTAACTCTTTTCTCACCTAGTCGTATTTCAGCTGACATTGCCCGTCACCGAAAATCATAAAGAAAGTAACTGTCAAGACTAAATAATCTATGCAACATATACTTAATATCATTGGAATTATTTCCATCATATGAATGGAGAGACACTTCAGGCGATACTTCTTTTGACAATCATAAATGCAATTTCTGTTCTTAACCTTTCTAAACGTAAACATCACAGAATTAAAAACAACAAATATGAGAACCACGTGGTTGGGGATGACAGCTAATGTTGTAACTAGGATAAGAATGAATTTGGATTCGTCCTACTATTACTTCCACACACACATAACAGTACACGAATAATCCCCCGAATACTATTCGTATGTTTCACCAGCTACTTACAACACTGATGAATGTACAGCTGAACAACTTGGCTTAAAAATCACTAAAATGAGTGTTTATCCCACATTTCAGATAAGCACCGTAGAAGAGTATCAAAAAGCATGGAAAATAGGATAAAAATCTCTTGCCAACTGATTGACAATACTCAAAATTAGAGCTTATACTGGATTCCAGAAGACACAATACAGTAATCATTCTGTAAAGAAAGTGAGATAATAATATAAGAAATAACATAAAGTTAAAAAATGATGCTTGCTGAAATTTGAAAAATAATACTTCTTACGTCAACTGATGTTTTGGTTCCTACAAGCTGTCCCAATTCAAATGAAGAAAACGAAATATCTCTGGTGAAATAATAGTTAACTTTTTTGTAGTAACAATAACAAACCTTTCTAAAGCATTAAGCAGCTCCAGTAACTCAGCATCTGACCATTTCAAACAAATGTTATACAGATGTCGGTATTGTAGACTTTTGGTGCGCCCGTATCCCATGACTTTTGTCGAAGTTTTAAGCAGAGCCGCACACGATAGCACCTACCGAGAACGAATCAAATCCCAATTGACCGCCGCTGTTCTAGCCAATGAAAGACGAGCAAAACCAGAAGCGCGGTAAATTTACAACGCGAAAATGTTTATCCTCACCCGTCTGATGATATTTAATGTTAATTGAAGCAACGGATAATGGACTGATAATTTATTGAATGTTATAGTTTCAAAGTATCCCAATCGGACAAATGTGTGGACAAAAAGGGTGTGTTTTATATCAAAAGGGGACAGAATCCGATTAAATGGGACAACAAGGGGACAATTTCTAGGAAGGGTGAAAAAATCCGAATCAAGGGGACAAAGAGGGGAAACCATGGAAACTTTTATTGTAAACTGGAGGTTACTGATAACTTGTAAGTAGTAAATTTTTTCTGTTGAAATTCCGTTACCACTACTTCAAATGAAGAAAAACGCGTCAATTAAATGAGGCGTTAGTAGTTTTTTCCTGACAACTTGAGTGTTTTCGGTCATACACTTATCCAGGCAGACCCACACGCATACACATAGGTGTATGTAAACATGCACACTATATTTATATACATGCATATATATATATGCATGTACATAAATGTAGATACTTCAAGAATAGTGACGAATAACATTACATTGCAGTCGCACTGACAAATCTACCTGTGACTTGTTATTGTCACTTTGACTGTGATAATATAAGGGGTCAAGGTATTCGCTAATAATGTCACTCATGTGACTCGTATGAGTCACACTATATCGTGTAACAAAGATGGTGTTATATGTTGGTTCATGCTTACTGACCAACCAGTGGAATTTATGAAAACATTAGTGGTCAATGTTAATTGCAGCGCGACGAATTTTTTTTGTTGAGTTGCCTTACAGTCACACATTGTGCGCGCACTTTTAAACTGTCCACGATGCAGGTAAGTGGTCGCTGTGGTTCAGTTTTAATTTTTCTCCTAGTCTAACACTAAATACCCTATATTCAGCCTAAAAAGATTACGTCAGCGTAACCTACGATTGACCTGCCATCACAGCACATTTTACAGAAGGTATAAACGTAACTATGAGCAGGTACTGGCCGAGATCTCGACTGCAACTTCCAGAGACTTAGTTTAGCAGTTTACCTCCTGTCTCACAAAATGTTTCATCGCAATTACTTGGAAGGTTGCAGAGATGAGTTAGTCAAGTTCCTCAATGAATTTGAAGTGATTTATGGTAGGGAGAACTTAGTTTATAATATTCATTGTCTGCAACACCTAGTGGAAGATGTCCATGAAATGGGACCCTTAGAATCTTTTTCGGCGTTCCCATTTGAATCTTATATGCAGACAATTAGTCGCTCAATACATTCTAACAATGCGGTAGCTAAGCAGGTGGCACAAAGATTTGCAGAAAAGGTATTTCACGACTGCAAATCAGGAGCACTACACGAAAAGGTTCTAAATCAATGTGAAGTGGATGCGGATAGACAAATAATTCACACCAGGCGTACAGTTATCACTTCATCTTCACCGGATAACTTCGTTATAGCCTACGGTAAACCTGGTCTCATAACGCAGACACACAAGGAAGTACTAACATTCAGAGCTTATATAGATGCTTGTGATTTCTTCGACCAGCCATTTAAGTCATCCCACATTGGGATATGGAAATGCTACAAATTAAGCCCCCACAAGCTAGAGATTCTGCCGTCAGATATTATTTGTTAGTGCTTCTGTATTCGCACAGACAAGTATGAAGTAGCAGTGCCCTTGTCGACTGAAGAAGAGTTTAACCAACTGGAAGCGTCATTGAGAAGCCCAAAATTCTGAGATTCATTCGTAAGTTTACAATGAACCTCCGATTACGTTTAGATGACGAAACTGGTTGGGAATTTATCGTTCAATCCGCAGTCTTCGTTGAGACGAATGCTGAATTACATATGGGAGCCTAAGCTATCAAGTCGCTTCACGGCTTGCGGAACACCGAGGAAGCTAGCCCTCACAAAGTGCTACTTCTAGTTTGCCCGGTGCGTTCGAACCAGGTGACGCTTTCGCACGTGTTTTCGTTTATATTCATTTATTGCTTACTGTTGATTGATCTTTAATAACGATGGGCCGAAATTCTAAAAAGTGTGTTCGTGTGAACACCAGTAATTTAGAAAATAGCACCAGCTCGTCTAATAACACATTACCACCCCTTATTACTAGTAGTTCACCCAACATAAAAGACTCGAACATAACTCTGACACCTGTAAGACAGGTGGAAGATGTTCTGTCTGAAAAGGTAGAGCTCTCTTACTTAACATGCATTATTATAGAGATGCAGCTACAGATAGATGAATTAAAAACGAAGTTAAGTTCATTAGAATGTATACCCGAAACTATCTCACTTATGAAAAAGGAACTGCTGGATCCTACAATCCTAAAGCTTTTTAATGTGACCTCTAGAATGACGCCTACTGACTCAGAAAATGCGAAGGAGTTAGAAAACGCCATTGACTTTCTATCCAGCGAAGTTGTTAAAAGGCTGGCTTCGAAACAAAACGCTATAGTGTATAATGTACCAGATAGCGAGCCCGTAAAGTCGGTCCAGCACTCATTGTTGAAGGCTGCAAATCTCTTGAGTGCACCTTGTCAGTGCATTCGCCTAAGTAAAAAAGACCTAAAGCATCCATGCCCATACTCTTTAGGTTCGACAGCTACATAATAGCTGAACGATTTAAGAAGGCCGAAGATCTTCTGGCTACTGCCAGTAAATTCAAGACTATTAAAGTAGTCTCGGATAAAACAACTAACCAAAGGCAAGCAACCAAGAACTCCTTCGATACAAAGTTGAACACACCGTGAACTACACCTGGTATCAGTGCTAAAGTGTCGACGGACACAGAAGCACAGCAAGTCACCTGTATAGTGTTGGGAAAAAAATCGGCAAGTAAAAGCGACTCAAAACTCAGTAAGAGCAGTGTCACTGGGTGCAATCTTAAAGTAAATGAGAGCACATCTGGAAAACCTGCTGACATACATGAGGTTGATATTGACTCACAAACTATGGCTGACCAGAAACCACTGGCAGACCACACCCAATCTGGATGCAAGCCCGAGAGTCCGGCAGTAGAAACTGCAAGAAAGACCACAAAGCCTAGGGTCCCACTCCAGACTTCGACATACCTCCCTCTCAATAAGTCTAGTAAGCAACATGTCAGTTTTACATTGTTTTACATTGTTCGATAGCTACTGTACCCTTAGTGTGTCTTAGTTTGTAGCCATTGTCATCTGAAAGTCGAGTGCCATTAGTAGAGGTAAAAACTAAGTGGTTTAGAAGCTTATAGTAAAGTGTTAAGTTTAGTCTCAGACGTCTTAGCCATAGTGTTTCTAGTCCTAGGGTATCACATCTAGTGGAGTAGTTCGCACCATTTTCGGTTCCGAGTAATTTTAACGTGAAGTACCTCTGCACTCCCTCGACTTGCAATTTGTCCTCTATGCGTATACTACTATACATGAATGAACAGTAATCAAATAAAGGACGCACACAAACCTTGTACAACAGAATTCTAGACTCATTTCTGTAGAAGTTCCTGGGTAGAAAGCCGATAAGTCTGCGTGACTTTGACACTTGTTTGGAGATATGTTCAGAAAATGATAAGTTATGTGAATATTTCAGCCCTAGGTCCAGTACAGTTTCCAGTCGTTGAAGTGCATGGCCTTGAATTGTCAGGTCAAGTTCTAAATTGTTGCAACCTATGCAGAGCCAGCCACATTTTTCGACATTAAATTGGAGTTGCCAGGTGTCACACCAGCTATCCATTTTTTCTAATTCTTGCTGTATGGCGTTTACTGTTATTCCAAGATCTGTGTTCTTGCATTTATACGTCACTTTTAAGTCATCTGCATATAGTATTGGTTTACCTACACTAAAGCATACACAGATACTGTTTGTATATATTATGAATAAGAGTGGGCCTAATACACTTCCCTGGATCACACCACTACTTACTGGTTTAGGCCTTGAGATTATCGAGCCAACTTTCGTTGTCTGACTTCGGCCACAGAGAAATGATTTTATCCAGCTCAGGATAGGGTCACATATCCCTAGTGAGCATAACCTGCTGACTAGCAGATTATGAGGAACTCTGTCGAAGGCTTTTGTTATATTGAATTATAGTACAATTACTAGTTCTCTGTTGTCCCTACTTCGTGTAACTTCTTTGAAAAAGTCTATGTGACAAGTCACACATGATCTTTTTGTAAGAAATCCGTGTTGTGATGGATTGATAAGTTCATGTTCTAGTAAGTTGTCTGACACTTGGTCTTTAACCACTTTCTCCATTATTCGGGATATTACCGGTGTTATATTGATAGGTCTATAGTTGCATACACTGGTTTTGGCCCCTGCTTTGTGCTTAGGTAATATGTATGTGGTTTTCCACACTTCAGGATAAGTTCCAGTTTCCAACGAGAGAGTGAATATTCTAAGTAACAAGACTATCATTTCCGTGCTACCATTTTTGTATATGACAGATGGTATGTCATCTGTTCCAGTACTACCATTAGACTTCAAAGTCTTAACCGCTGAGTCTATATTTTGTATATTACGGTCTATTTCGCCTAATTTGTGGTTACTTTTGCAGGTCATTTGGAAATTTTGGGTCGGGTGTACTCTGGCGTCACTGCAAAACCACTCATTGAGGAGTTCACTTATAACCTGGGGATCATTGTATATTATACCCTTATGTTCCAAGCTGCTTACAGTATTGTCTTTACTGCTTTTTAGGCGTTTCTGCAATATCCTACAAAGTTCCTGTGTTTTGGAGTTACCCACAAGCGCTTTATTTTCTTCAAGTTGTGACATCATTTTGTGTTTATCTTCAAGCCGTTCAAGAGTTTCGTGTATTTGGTTCAACGCATCAAATTCCTTAAATACATGGTATTTCCTTTTCAATTTCTTTAGTTTTAGTCGCGTTTTGCGGTCTATAAATGGAGTTGGTGTCTTTAGAGCAGATTTTAGGGGCGCGATTGTGTCTCTTGCTGAGCCAATTGTTTTGTAGAAAATATCAAGTGATACTTCTAAGTTATTGTTGATGAAGTATTCTTCCCAGTCAGAACTTCTCAACAGATCTGATAGGAATTCCCAATCGGCATTCTTATAGTCCCTATATTGATAGTGCACCGGGGAATCTTTAGGTGTGTGTTTAGTTGTTAGTCGGAGGGGTAGCGTGCAGTACAATATGTTGTGATCACTGTTATCAAGTTTATTTCCTACCTCTATCGAGATGGGCTCTATTTCATGACAAAGGATTAAGTCAAGAGTGTTTTCACTTCTTGTAGGGAGGCGTACGCACTGCTTCCATCCGCCTACGTCTATAGCTTGTAGTAGCTCGTCATGGATTCTAGGTCCTGTACAGGTATCCCAGTTTACTCCAGGTAAGTTGAAATCGCCACAGACTACTTTGTAGTCAAAGTCCAGCGAAGCTACATGCTCTAGTATTTCTCCAATAGTTATATCAGTCATTTCTGAGCTATTAGGGGGTCTGTATATACATCCCACGAGAATTTTATTTTCGTTTGTGTGGATGCTTATCCACTTAGATTCAGGGAGTTTGTCAGTAGTTGGGTTATTGAAAGTATTGGAGTTAGTGGATTTAGAGGCATATATTAAGCAGCCGCCTCCTCTTTTGTCAACTCTATCGTTCCTATAGATGTCGTAGTTGTCTATTACTAGCTTTGAGTCAGGTATATCAGTAGTAAGCCAGGTTTCAGTCACCATTATTAGTGTTGGCCGTTCTATGTATGTCAGGCAGCGAAGCAATGTTATTTTATTAAGGAGACATCTAGCATTCAGGAGCATAATCGTTAGTAAACCAGAGTTATTGGAGGAGAGGTTAACATGGTTACTTGTTACTATCCCTACGTTATGTTTGGAGGGGCTCTGAGGTGAGACAGAGTCAGTGTGTGTACTATTTCCTGGATGAATTGTGCAGCGAGTGGGGCTATTGTTTGCTGCATCCGAAAATAATCCTGTTGCATGTTTTGACTTTTAGCATCCATGGGTGGGCATCTGCGTTCATTTACTGGTGATATATAGTTTGCTTGACCTAGGTACCCTGTGTTAAGATTACCTTGGTAGTTGTACCTCATGGGTCTTTCATAGTCGTATGCATATTGGCTTACATCACATGTGCGAGTGAAGTTATTGAGAGGGTCAAGTGTCGATCTATACTCATTAAGTTGCTGAGGTTTAACATAGATAGTGTGAGAGTTTGGACGAGAATATTATTAATATGGCGCCTATATGAGTCCCGTTTAGTGCTCCATATATCCTGATGATCCATTCTACGTTGCATTCCCAAGTTATGTGCGTTGCTAGGCATATTACTCCTAGTTCGGGAAGGGGTATTCTTACTCACATGATGGATGACGTTTTTGGGAATATGGTTTTTTACCCATGCATTGTCTTTTTTAGACTGACATGTGGCTTACTAGACTTATTGAGAGGGAGGTATGTCGAAGTCTGGAGTGGGACCCTAGGCTTTGTGGTCTTTCTTGCAGTTTCTACTGCCGGACTCTCGGGCTTGCATCCAGATTGGGTGTGGTCTGCCAGTGGTTTCTGGTCAGCCATAGTTTGTGAGTCAATATCAACCTCATGTATGTCAGCAGGTTTTCCAGATGTGCTCTCATTTACTTTAAGATTGCACCCAGTGACACTGCTCTTACTGAGTTTTGAGTCGCTTTTACTTGCCGATTTTTTTCCCAACACTATACAGGTGACTTGCTGTGCTTCTGTGTCCGTCGACACTTTAGCACTGATACCAGGTGTAGTTCTCGGTGTGTTCAACTTTGTATCGAAGGAGTTCTTGGTTGCTTGCCTTTGGTTAGTTGTTTTATCCGAGACTACTTTAATAGTCTTGAATTTAGTGGCAGTAGCCAGAAGATCTTCGGCCTTCTTAAATCGTTCAGCTATTATGTAGCTGTCGAACCTAAAGAGTATGGGCATGGATGCTTTAGGTCTTTTTTACTTAGGCGAATGCACTGACAAGGTGCACTCAAGAGATTTGCAGCCTTCAACAATGAGTGCTGGACCGACTTTACGGGCTCGCTATCTGGTACATTATACACTATAGCGTTTTGTTTCGAAGCCAGCCTTTTAACAACTTCGCTGGATAGAAAGTCAATGGCGTTTTCTAACTCCTTCGCATTTTCTGAGTCAGTAGGCGTCATTCTAGAGGTCACATTAAAAAGCTTTAGGATTGTAGGATCCAGCAGTTCCTTTTTCATAAGTGAGATAGTTTCGGGTATACATTCTAATGAACTTAACTTCGTTTTTAATTCATCTATCTGTAGCTGCATCTCTATAATAATGCATGTTAAGTAAGAGAGCTCTACCTTTTCAGACAGAACATCTTCCACCTGTCTTACAGGTGTCAGAGTTATGTTCGAGTCTTTTATGTTGGGTGAACTACTAGTAATAAGGGGTGGTAATGTGTTATTAGACGAGCTGGTGCTATTTTCTAAATTACTGGTGTTCACACGAACACTCTTTTTAGAATTTCGGCCCATCGTTATTAAAGATCAATCAACAGTAAGCAATAAATGAATATAAACGAAAACACGTGCGAAAGCGTCACCTGGTTCGAACGCACCGGGCAAACTAGAAGTAGCACTTTGTGAGGGCTAGCTTCCTCGGTGTTCCGCAAGCCGTGAAGCGACTTGATAGCTTAGGCTCCCATATGTAATTCAGCATTCGTCTCAACGAAGACTGCGGATTGAACGGTAAATTCCCAACCAGTTTCGTCATCTAAACGTAATCGGAGGTTCATTGTAAACTTACGAATGAATCTCAGAATTTTGGGCTTCTCAATGACGCTTCCAGTTGGTTAAACTCTTCTTCAGTCGACAAGGGCACTGCTACTTCATACTTGTCTGTGCGAATACAGAAGCACTAACAAATAATATCTGACGGCAGAATCTCTAGCTTGTGGGGGCTTAATTTGTAGCATTTCCATATCCCAATGTGGGATGACTTAAATGGCTGGTCGAAGAAATCACAAGCATCTATATAAGGTCTGAATGTTAGTACTTCCTTGTGTATCTGCGTTATGAGACCAGGTTTACCGTAGGCTATAACGAAGTTATCCGGTGAAGATGAAGTGATAACTGTACGCCTGGTGTGAATTATTTGTCTATCCGCATCCACTTCACATTGATTTAGAACCTTTTCGTGTAGTGCTCCTGATTTGCAGTCGTGAAATACCTTTTCTGCAAATCTTTGTGCCACCTGCTTAGCTACCGCATTGTTAGAATGTATTGAGCGATTAATTGTCTGCATATAAGATTCAAATGGGAACGCCGAAAAAGATTCGAAGGGTCCCATTTCATGGACATCTTCCACTAGGTGTTGCAGACAATGAATATTATAAACTAAGTTCTCCCTACCATAAATCACTTCAAATTCATTGAGGAACTTGACTAACTCATCTCTGCAACCTTCCAAGTAATTGCGATGAAACTTTTTGTGAGACAGGAGGTAAACTGCTAAACTAAGTCTCTGGAAGTTGCAGTCGAGATCTCGGCCAGTACCTGCTCATAGTTACGTTTATACCTTCTGTAAAATGTGCTGTGATGGCAGGTCAATCGTAGGTTACGCTGACGTAATCTTTTTAGGCTGAATATAGGGTATTTAGTGTTAGACTAGGAGAAAAATTAAAACTGAACCACAGCGACCACTTACCTGCATCGTGGACAGTTTAAAAGTGCGCGCACAATGTGTGACTGTAAGGCAACTCAACAAAAAAAATTCGTCGCGCTGCAATTAACATTGACCACTAATGTTTTCATAAATTCCACTGGTTGGTCAGTAAGCATGAACCAACATATAACACCATCTTTGTTACACGATATAGTGTGACTCATACGAGTCACATGAGTGACATTATTAGCGAATACCTTGACCCCTTATATTATCACAGTCAAAGTGACAATAACAAGTCACAGGTAGATTTGTCAGTGCGACTGCAATGTAATGTTATTCGTCACTATTCTTGAAGTATCTACATTTATGTACATGCATATATATATATGCATGTATATAAATATAGTGTGATTGTGTATGCGTGTGGGTCTGCCTGGATAAGTGTATGACCGAAAACACTCAAGTTGTCAGGAAAAAACTACTAACGCCTCAATTAATTGACGCGTTTTTCTTCATTTGAAGTAGTGGTAACGGAATTTCAACAGAAAACATTTACTACTTACAAGTTATTAGTAACCTCCAGTTTACAATAAAAGTTTCCATGGTTTCCCCTCTTTGTCCCCTTGATTCGGATTTTTTCACCCTTCCTAGAAATTGTCCCCTTGTTGTCCCATTTAATCGGATTCTGTCCCCTTTTGATATAAAACACACCCCTTTTGTCCACACATTTGTCCGATTGGGATACTTTGAAACTATAACATTCAATAAATTATCAGTCCATTATCCGTTGCTTCAATTAACATTAAATATCATCAGACGGGTGAGGATAAACATTTTCGCGTTGTAAATTTACCGCGCTTCTGGTTTTGCTCGTCTTTCATTGGCTAGGACAGCGGCGGTCAATTGGGATTTGATTCGTTCTCGGTAGGTGCTATCGTGTGCGGCTCTGCTTAAAACTTCGACAAAAGTCATGGGATACGGGCGCACCAAAAGTCTACAATACCGACATCTGTATAACATTTGTTTGAAATGGTCAGATGCTGAGTTACTGGAGCTGCTTAATGCTTTAGAAAGGTTTGTTATTGTTACTACAAAAAAGTTAACTATTATTTCACCAGAGATATTTCGTTTTCTTCATTTGAATTGGGACAGCTTGTAGGAACCAAAACATCAGTTGACGTAAGAAGTATTATTTTTCAAATTTCAGCAAGCATCATTTTTTAACTTTATGTTATTTCTTATATTATTATCTCACTTTCTTTACAGAATGATTACTGTATTGTGTCTTCTGGAATCCAGTATAAGCTCTAATTTTGAGTATTGTCAATCAGTTGGCAAGAGATTTTTATCCTATTTTCCATGCTTTTTGATACTCTTCTACGGTGCTTATCTGAAATGTGGGATAAACACTCATTTTAGTGATTTTTAAGCCAAGTTGTTCAGCTGTACATTCATCAGTGTTGTAAGTAGCTGGTGAAACATACGAATAGTATTCGGGGGATTATTCGTGTACTGTTATGTGTGTGTGGAAGTAATAGTAGGACGAATCCAAATTCATTCTTATCCTAGTTACAACATTAGCTGTCATCCCCAACCACGTGGTTCTCATATTTGTTGTTTTTAATTCTGTGATGTTTACGTTTAGAAAGGTTAAGAACAGAAATTGCATTTATGATTGTCAAAAGAAGTATCGCCTGGAGTATCTCTCCATTCATATGATGGAAATAATTCCAATGATATTAAGTATATGTTGCATAGATTATTTAGTCTTGACATTTACTTTCTTTATGATTTTCGGTGACGGGCAATGTCAGCTGAAATACGACTAGGTGAGAAAAGAGTTAGTTGCGGTGAAACCAAAATGTGCTATCAGTCCATGAAGTCTTTCTTGGTTCGAGTTACCTAGGCAGGTATAGACTGCCTGGCTGGGGACCTTGGGATAATAAGTACCAATGTCTGGAGACTAATGGTGATATGGCTCAAAATCATTCTCAGTGTCACATTCACTGTTTGTAATCTCCCGTTTACAATGAACTATCATGTCTTTCCATTTTACTCTTGTTCCTCGCTTACATTTCGCCCACTGTAGTTCGTTTGATTTTCTTTTTTCTCCTCTACCATTGTGTGATACATGGGGTATGGTAACGTGGACTACTGCACTTCATTGCAAAGTTTTGTGTTGAAACCCAGTCAGTCAATTTTTTATGGTTTTAGATCATCACACTTTTAATGATTTTTAGGTTGATGAACTTGTGGAGGCTCTAATGGATGTAGATGAAAGTGAGTTGGAAGGTATGTTATGAACGAATTTCCCTCAAAATTGAATACTTCTTGTAGGTCGAGACGTTGTAGTTCCTGATCAAAAACCTGAAGAACCAATGGATGTATGTTCTGTACATATTTTGCAAATAATATTTCTATGTGCAGATATTGTTACGGACTGCCAGATACTGTACTACCGAACGATATAATAGTTGTGCAGCACTGAGTGAGGTAGGTTTATAGTACTCACATTAAGTACTTATCATTGAGGGTTGCGGTCAGTGCTATAAACAGAAATATGCAGGGCAATAAATATTTTAGATCTTGTTCTGGAGATTGGAAAATGCTTTCATTCTCAATATATTATTTTATATACATACTACTATCCTCATGATCCCATTTTATAAACAGCATGTATTCTAGGAAAACCAGTGAGTGATTTCAAAGCATTAAAGACAACTTTGTGTTATATGATAACTGAAAGTGTTTTCCACATAAATCCAGTATTCTTTTATTACCGTGTTTAATAACTTTTTGTCAAACTATACGAAGCTCGAAAACGCATTTGGCTGAACTATTTGTATAGATGATGAAGTAGGCATGTAATAGTGCTTTTGTTTGACACTTGAGTGGTGGTCCATGTTTTTTTTTTTCCTTCACGTTCCCCAGTGGAACATAGGGCTTCAAGCTTGTGGCTTGAAGTTTCTGTAGCAGTGCTTATTTTACAGGATGGGGTTGCTAACCTCATACCCACCCTTTTCTCTTCACCAGCATTATCCCTGGCTTAGCGAGGTAAAGGAGGAGTGCGTCGGCCAGAATTCGAACCTCGGACCATGTGTATGGTTCGCGAGTGTCCTAACCGCATGAATGAATATTCATCGTAAAAGACAGAACCAAAAGGTTTTCAGATAAAAGTGATGCTAAGCTAGAGGAGATATATCAGAAGAATCTGTTGTGAAACTGTAATATGTATACTTAATAAAATTGCAGGACAGAATAAGCTGAATGTGATTGCATTTTTACATAGTGATGTTATTAGGTAAACGCTCAGCCTTACTCTTCTTTCAGGAATACTACCCACTAGTCGAAGAAAGTAGACCTAGACACATTGAGTGGCTAGTGGACATTTCATCACTGAAATACGGATGCACAATCGAATGAAAACTCCAAAATTATTTCTACAACCTTATGAAGGTACTTTTTCAAAGTCAATTATTCACAGAGTTGTGTACAATGATAGTAAGATGTAAAAATCTTACGTTGGAATTTCATTTCGGAGAAGTTATTCGTCTTCTTCTCCTGTTGTCTTCATTTCATGGTTTCGGTATTGTTTCACAGTTATCTTCATTCTTCCTCTTTACAAGTTAGTCTGTTGCTCTGCTATTGAAGATTGTTGCAACAGACCATCGGTATATTGCTTACTAATTCTTGTAAGTAATACATGCCGCAAGTAGGGAGTTAATAAGATGACAAAGAACTAAAGGAGGATTAACCTAATACTATCGATTTAAGAATCTCTTAACACTCTTGTTTAGCTGCCCAATAATTAAAGACAAGATTGTGCAACCGAATAGCAAATAGTTTGATCTTCAAAAGTCCGTGATAACTGAACAAATTGATTTGTACTGTGTTTGGAGTAAATTCAGAATCCAACTAGCTAAAGTTATCTCGATTTTCATAGCAATCCTCTCTAAGCGAAATATTGTTTATGATTATTGTAAGCACAAAGTGTTCAGCATTTTCCATCACAGCATTTGCAAATGGAATAGTTGAAGTTAAATCTGACAGAGTCGTCTATTATAGACAATCATTGATATTCATACTGTTTCGTATCTTTGCTACGGTTCTTGTAAGGATATTACATGGTAATTTAGTGGTAACGTCGTTTATTAATTTGATTATTTCCAGGTATAAGGTTCAACTTTCTGAATCCATTGCACCTACTTCAGCTTAAGAGACAGCATAGTATCACTGATTATTGCAAAACATTTGTTACACACTGCGTAACTAGGATATGGAGGTCCGGAAATATTAGTCAATTAAATTTGCAGTTGGGGGAGAACTTCTAATTGAAGTAATAGTTTTTATAACTGAAGATCAAAATTGACGAAATCGAAGAAACGAAAGCTAGGGAGCTGAACATCGAATGAAGCATATAGTGGCAGTCAAATCTCTCTCTACCTCAACTTCATCGACTTCGAAAAGGCCTTCGACAGACAGCGCCGATAGAGACGCATTTCGGAAGCTACTTCAACACTACAGCGTGCAGTGCCCAAGTCTTTATCAACCTCATTCAGCAGCTGGCTATATGACAATGTCACGTGTTAGTCAGGTGATCCATAATAGAAAACTCAGCGAAGCGTTCGAGGTGAACGCAGGAGTAAGAGAGGCTGGCTGTCTATTATCACTCACGGTGATATTCTTAATTGTGGTGGACTGGATTATGCATCAGACTGTGCTTGAGAGTGAGGAGACAGGAGTGCGCTGGACCACCGATGAGAAGACTCTAGAAGATCTGGATTTCGCTCCTGGATGATATATGTCTAATGTCACATAAACTGGAAGACTTACAGGCAGGCGAAAACTAACAAACTGGCATAAGAGGCAGGCAGTGAAGACAGGACTCCAAGTGAACATAGAGAAGACGGAGGTGATGAAGATATCCAACGAACAGTAACAACAACAACAAAAACCAGCACCAATCATCATCAACAGGAGAGATTTAACAGCGGTTACTTCTTGCCTTCACTTATCTAGGAAGCATCGTTTCAACTACGGGCAGTCAGAACGCACGAAGATGTCAAAACTGGTCAGAATCGGAAAAGCAAGATACACACGCCTTCATCAACCTGAAACCAGTTTAAAATTTCCTGTATTCAGCATAAGGGACAAGATTCTCATTTTCAACATCAGTGTGAAGGCGGTCTTTCTATACGGTGCAGAAACTTGCGCTGCGTGTCAGTGACGAAAAGGATTTCCAACAGCCAACTGCAGACTTTTATCAACAGCTGCTTTCCCTGGCTCCATAATGAAGATGAAATGGCCAGCCAGAAAACAGTTAGTAACAAGAAACTCTGTCTGAGAACAAACCAACCACGAGCCGATCGCTCAACAAATATGCAGGCGGAAATGGAGATGGATTGGGCATTTATTGAGGAGGCCGTCGAATGACATCGCACACCAGGCTTTTGCTCGAGTGGCATCCCAGTAGGAAGCGACAAGTGGATCGTCGGTGCGAGGGTGACATGGATGAGTTATTGTGAGGTGGAGGTTAGAGATTATGGACAATCGTGGACCCAGCTGGAGAGGATGGCAGAAGATGTGGAGACGTGTTGTTGAAGCCCTATTTTCCGCTTGGAACTCAAGGGAATAATAATATTATAATAAGGAGCCGAACAGAACTAATTGGACCGTAGAGTTTGGACTAACTTTTTTTGAAGACACCACCGGCTTGTCCATGTATATGGTGGGGGCTTATGCAGTACAGAGAAGTCGGGCACACAACCTTTTTTATATTTTTGTCCACTTTGTGAATAACTCACCATTCAGAGTCATTTTTTCATCTTTTAATTGCTAAGATAGGCTGACCATTCAAATTTATGTATGGTCTCGTGCACTCTTGAGTAAGTACTGTGTACGACACCTGCGTGTCGGAGTATAAGGTAAGAATACTGTTGGGCTGATGAAGTTAGTTTCTTCCGAATGAAATAATGAAAGTCGACCTGCTTCTAATTTTCCGGAGCTAGTGAATGAAGGCTTTTTGTCATACATGTTGATGGGTGCATCTAACTGAATGTTTTGACAGAATGTCTTAGTATCATATGCACCGTTAGTAATTATTTTATGAATTACTATTGACTATACATATATATATATATATATAATTTTCACTTTAAGTGTCGGATAATTTGTTCTAGGTTTTACAAAAACTGTACAGACAGGAAGTATCAGATTACCGTGCAGTGCATAAGAAAACTCCAAACCCCTCATACGTACCTTATGGACAATTGTATCGCTTCATGATGGCACTGGTAGCTGGACGACCTTTACCAAATCTATCTGATTTGTCCTCTGCCGCCATCCTGGACTTTCTAACTTGGTATGTTACTCAGAGTTTATTATTCGCTCGTTTCAGTCATTTACGTTTATCTGTTTTGATACTTTTGTTTAGTGCTATCAGTTATTAAATTTTATTATTTATTTACACTGTATATTCCAGAGTGGGGTTTATAAACTAATGGCTTCGTTATTTGCAAGGTTACCCATTTTTCTTTCCATGTGCCGAAAATTTCTTATGAACATGAACCTGTTGCCTAAATTATGTTTTAAAGATTTTGGATTGTTTGCAAGTCGATAAGTGGAAGCAATGGAAGACTGTCAACTAGGAAGATGAGGCGTTTCAATTCCCAGTGGTCTGTAATTCTTCCACTGTATTGAAAAACTATGCGTTCCCGCTTGTTCGTTGATTTTCTCTATGAAATAAAGTCGCAATACCTGTTCTATGTTTTGATGTATCTTCTTCAATTGTTACTTCCCAACTTCACATGAAAAACCGTTTTGCGATTAGATATCTAGTCTCAAATGTAATGTTAGTAATATATATGTATATATATTGACCCGTTTCTCTTATTTTACGCTTTTTCACTTTTCTTTCCGTAGTTTGACCTCTATTGCCAACATAGCCTCCGACCTTGATAATGGAAAGGACACTTGTAATTCTGCGACAGATCCTGTTCGTACCCGAATGAGGGTACAAGTTACAAATGCTACAAACATGGTTAAACAGAAAATCGGTGTATATATGGCCCTTGTTGGTGCTATACATGCCAGTTCATTTCCTAGTATACGCGATGAAATAACCCTTCAAAGAGATTTTGGTACCCATCCTCTTACTCCATTACGTCTACTATGTCAAGTGAAACATCCTGACACGATTTTAGGATATCCTCCAATGGTGAAATACTTGGTTGATAATTCCATTATGGGTAAATTTTATTTTGATAGAGTCTCACAGTGTTATACAGTAATATTTACTGATCTAGCTTTTTTGGATGTTTCAAGAATAATTGTATAATCTTTGTCATTGATCATATTTATCATTGATCACATTTATCATTGATCAGTAAATACTACTGTATAACACTGTGAGACTCTATCAAAATAAAATTTACCCATAATGGAATTACACTCTACCACAGTGCCCAAGTTTTATTCTTATATCAATGATACTTGGTTGATAAGTTCGCAGAAATTTGGAAAAGTAAGTAGTTTTGTTTAGCATTAAATTGAAGATACTGATACAGTTGGTTGATTACAACAGAGCATTTTATTTTTAAATTCATGTTAATACTAACTGGACTGAAAATGAATTCTATGTACGAATTCTTACAAAGCTTATAGCCCATTTAGACTAAAGGTCTTTCAGAAACTCATGGAGGAAGCGCAAACAAGTTGTCATTCCAATGAAATATGCTCTAAATTCACCTGAGAACTCAAGATTAGGAAACTCTTTTTGGTAGTTGTGCTCAAGTTCGGGCTCATTTTTTTTCAAACTCAACTGTTACACATAATTGCATAAGTGCTATTGATTTTTACTGGATTGGAAACTTGAAAAAAATACATTCTGACATCTGATAAAATCATAAGCGGTTATACCCAACGAAATACGATTAAATAGATCACTCATCTATTTGTTTAACCTCCGATAATTTTACTTTAATAATCTTTCATTTTATTATAAGTATAAAATATTTCGTAGAACTGCAGAAACAGTTTAAGTATTTGGCTAGGTTTGGATCTACAAAGTTTTAGGAGATTCTTTGACTAGTTCTCAAGGACTTGCAGGTGTAGAGGTAGCATTGAGGGGAAAAATCCCTAGTTGACTGGATCCTAGTGGATGTGTGCTATCCGAGTGAAGGGATCCGTTAGGAGAAACAAAGATTGTGATACCCATCCACGTTTTCCCATAATCTTTACTTGTACCCCAACAGACTGCAGTTTGGACGAAGTAAAGAATGAGTTCTATCAAAAGCTGTCTAGTTTGTTGCTGAAAGTAAAGCTGTCAGACATAGTCGTAGTAAGTGACTCCAATGCTTAAGTAGGCAAGTTGTACCACTCAGAAAAGTATATTGGTTGAATCTATGGTGTCTCATGCCGGTGAACCGCCAAAGGTGATCGTCTTCTACAGTTCTGTTCAGATGGTCATCTGTTCCTCGTTACTACTAACTTCAGTGACAAGGAGAAACATTGCCTTACTTGGCAACCTCGATAATGAAATCAACGATGGACCCAAATAGATTATATAGCGAGGGTTGGTAGAAGACTGTCGCTCCTCAGTCCCCGAGTCTATATACCTACGACTGAAAGGACATAAAAGACAGACAGAGACGAAGGTGTTGCGCCCCCCCCCCCAACCTGATCAGGACACCAAGTCCCTATTCATGGAGGAAATAGTTGAACACGTGTCTGAAACTGATAGCAAGACTCATCCTCAGGAAGCCTGGCTTACTAACCATTCATTGGTAACCTAAACCGAATGTCAGTTAATGCCAGTGGATTTCTGCAGTTTCGTCCGAACTGATTGACGCAGGATGACAGATTCCTCCGGGCTCCCATTACGATAAGGAGCGAAAGCTGCTTAAACACTAACTAACGCAAATCATCTTAGTGACGGCGAACAGTAGTGGACGACAAAAGAGAAGGCAATGGAAAAGGCGTCGACTCTAGGCAACACCTGACAGCTATCTGATCTTATTAAAAAAACAGGTGACAAAAGGCACATGATAAGTGAGACCATCTCCGAGAAAGATGTCGGCTTAATTAGCTCTGAGGATAGACGACTGGAACATTCCTGCGAACACGTTGAGGGTCGATTTTACTAGCCTACATCCACACTCAACTTGACCACCACCCGACGTCTACCTGAATGGGATGTAGATATCTGTAACTAAAGTTACCAAGGCTGTCTATAATCTGGAATGAGAAGAAGCTACAGGACGTCATGGAATGACTCCAGAGGCGTTCAAGTATGGTGGTGACAAACTGCTGTCTGGATTAACTAAGTTATGAGGTAATGTCTGGGAGTAAGAGGTAGTTCCATTAGACTGCTGCAGGCCACTGATTGTCTCAGTTTATAAGACGGTAGACAAGTCCTCCGATGATAATCATAGAGGAATAGGCTTAATTAATGTGGTATCTGAAGTTCTAGGCTCAATAATCACACACAGATGCAGCGGTGTTGGGGAGAAACTTACGTGAGAAAACTAGTCGTGCTTCAGGTAGAAAATACCCCTTAGTCCATCCGAACTGCAGCCAGTTGGGCGTTAGCGGAGACTACGAAAAGACAACGATGGGTAGCGCCGTCTTCCCTTCTTTTAACGGACCCGTTCAGACGGGCCGCACACATACGACTATCTACTGGGATCCAGTCAAGAAGTGATTTTTCTGCCCTAACACTCAATGCTATTCCTACACCTGCGAGACCTAGCGAACCAGCTGAAGAGTGTCGTGACACCCTTAAAGTGAATTTTGCAGATTCACCTTGTTGACCGGGTGAGGTCAAGTGAATTTCCACTCTCGGATCTTGTATGCGTGTCTCTGGAACACAACATACATCCATGGCTGTAGATTGCAGAGTTCTTGCTAGTGATGCCTGTTGTCCGATTTGACAGAGGGTCATGACGTTAAAAGCTCCTATATGAAGTTGGCGACGTGGCTTTATAAGGCTATCTGGGGTGTTTGTATGGCTCTCACCTTTGTTTGTGGACACAGAGTGGAGTGAAGATGACTCACTAGTCTGCAGAATAGTGCTAACTGTAGTAGAGAAGCAAGATGAGGAAGGTGATGTGAGTAAGGGAGAGTGATGCTCAGGGAGGCTTCGTGTGCTTTTGGAAGTGTGTGGGCGGTCGTTACTTCCCGGCTGTCCACACTGGGGAAGTTGATTGATTCTTCGGGAACCTGAAACAGAAAGAGTGTTGCGTGACCACAGAGCCCAGGGGACAAGTGCTTGAGGCCGGTCACACGCGGCCTGCTTTTGTTTGTTCGTTTTTGTTTGGTGTGTTTCAGTAGCATATTTATCACTTCTGCCCTGTGACACGGCAGCAGGAAGCGCGGTGGTTGTTAATCCGGACCCCGACCGATCCGGCATGATATTTTGTGAATTTGTTTCAATCATAGTATTGGATTGGGTAGCTGCTTTTTGTCTAACCGCTATCCAAACAACCTTTCTGGCATATAGGAACTCAAGCGACATAAGTCTCAGCCAGTATAGCTTGTAGGGTCGTTGCGGTGTTCAAGCCCGACCACCACGTCAAGGTATCAGCTTTCGGTCGGGTGTAGCCTTAGAGTATGCACATTACATTCTCCCTCTAGGTGAAGATGCTGTAAAAGTGCAGGGTTTTGTGAACACCATGGGTGAAAATCTTCCGAATGTTTGACGTGTGATTCAGTCCTGTGGAAGGCAAGGTGATACTGAAGGATTTGACTACACGGACTATTAGCTTAAAGACAGGGAGTGGAAATGGTAGTTTTTTGACCACTTCACTTATTTGGGAAGTTGCATCAACCTTAGTGGGGTGATTGCTGAGAAAATCTCAGCACGCGTACAAAAGGCTAGTGCAGCGTTCGGCAACTTATATCTGGCTATCCATGAAGGGAAGTGTGTACTACTCAGCAGTTGATTGTGTCCTCCCTTGTGTCTGTCAAACTTAGACATTGGAAGATATGAATAAAGTGGATTGCTGTCTTTGACCACATGTGTTTGTGTTCTATAAACTGTGTCAAGTGGTATAATTTGATGAGTATTATTTAAGTTAGACACAGTATTAGGTAACAAAAGAGAGTCAATCAATCAAGTTGTGAATGTGAATTGATTGAGTTGGTTAGGACACGTGTTGCGCGTTCCGAGCCATTGCATCCCTTAACAGTCAATGTTAGACGACTTTGGATTAAGTGGGAAAAGAGTTTGGGATGGTCAAACAGAAACCTGGTATTAGTCCATGAAAGCCTTGACAGTTAGTTTGAGCCAGGTAAGGAGGTGTAGAAAGTTTCTTCTTGGTGTCCTCGAGATGTTGAGAACAGTGGCTGGAAATTGGTATGGTTCGAAATCATTGTCACTGGTAAAGATACATTGACCCTTTGGGATCTCCCAGATCCTCATTCTTTTTCTGTTACGATTTTTTCAACTTCACATTTCTGCTTATTAAAGTTGTTATGAGTCTCTTTTTTCTCCTTTTCATGGAGTGTGGGTACTTGAACTGCTGCACTTCTATGCGAAATTCTATTTCGAAATTCGGTCTGTCAGTCAGTGAGGTTACTTTTAGAATGTTAGGTACGGAAGGAAAGTCGGTCAATGAGTTTGTCTAGCTCCATTGATTGAGATGTTTAGAACATTTATTGTGCATATTGAATTTCAGTTAGTAGTAGGACTTTGTGGGAGTATATAAGACTCGATTATGTGATAAAACAGGGTTATTTTAAGTAAAGAAATTCTCGCTTTTGCCGAATACATGCTTATTGTAACAATAACTGCTTAATTTTTCTATCATTCCTTTCATACTGGCATACGCGATACATCCGTAATTTAGTTATTGTCAGATTAAATTTGGATAGTGATCATTTCAAATAAATTCAACTAGAAATTCGAAGTCGAATTTTAATATTTTACATTAGCTCTATCTAAGAATACTTATTCTGTAATAAACTTTACTTGCTTATCAGCTCTAATATGCACATTTGAAATATTTCTTTATCATTCTACAGTACCGCGGGTTCCAGACACATATTTCTTCGGTGAGACGACATCCGAACCCGTGTCCAATGGTATATTACGCTTTGTACTGAAACGTGTTACAGCGTTTTCACTCAACCCATTTACCTTTCCACTAGAGATGATGGCTCCTTTTCAAACCATCATGAATGATTTTCGTTCGCTGTGCTCTAGTAGATTACAACTTTCGAAGTTTTTTCGAACGTGGGCTACGTCCAATGTAAAACGAGGACGTTTCTTCCCAGCATTACCATTGCCTTTGGGAGTTATACCTCGTAAACGTTCAAGGGAAAGCTCTGTTGAGAGTGATCAGGCAAAGAAGTGCTGTACTGGAAATCCTTCAATTACGACTAAGTCGGTAGCAGAAGAGTGCTACACAACAGAAGGGTGAGTCATTAAAAAAACAGGCTTTTTACAAACTACGCATGAAAATTGTTCTTAGATAATTGATTTAATTATATCAAGAGTTCCTTGACCTTTATTGCTTAATAACGCCGTACCCCTTTGTGCAGAAATATTTAAGAACGGTTATTCTCAGCTCTAGCATATTGTTTATTTAATTTATTTTGCTTCAAAAAGTTTGTTATTTGATTTTTTAAAGCCAATTTTGTAAGTGCCTTCCAGAGGTTTCCAAGATTTATTGCAATCTTATTATCATCAGTTGTCTGTCTGACAACTGTTCTCAGTCACCTACGTGAGATACCCTCTTTTTACTCAAAACATTAGAATACGAACACCAAGAAATACTGCAAACAAAAACAACAATATTTAACAGCAGCCGTGCGCATCACTCATTAGTTTATATTGTTTTCCAAAAGAGAAGGAAAAAGGAAGTTGCAACAGGTTCACACTCAACTTTGATTCCGAGTCATATTTGATAATGTTTCCAGACAACGAGTCTACAGATCTTTTAAACTCTATCCAAGGAGTTGTGATGCACCAGCAGATGCGAACCCAACTGAACTACCCTTCATCTCACTGTGCAAGTGTGGTACGAAAATCACTCAAGAGGCCTCCGTACTCTAGCCCTGGGACTGAATGGAAAAGAGGGGAGGTGGTCAGCCTGTGAAATGGCGTCGTCGGATGAAGGACATTTGTGTTAAGTTGGTCGGTTGGAACGTCACACCTCCATAGTTCGAAACATTATCAGAAATGACCAAAGATCGCAATCAATAGCAAGCATGCTGCGATTTCCTTTTTTCTTACCTTTCTGAAAGTACGGTGAAGTAATGAGTGCTGAATGACCTCGACAAATATGCATGCTTGCTTTTTCGATGATGTCCCTCATTCATTCTCTCGTTATTTTCCTTATATATTATTGTTCGGCGCATTTTCCGATGCCCATATTGTACTTTAAATAAAAAGCCGCGCAGGCTGCTGCCAATCCGGTAACTGTACTCTACGCTTGGACGGTGCCAAAGCACCATATACTCAGGAACGACGGCCATCAACTGGCTAGTGGCCTCTATGTAATCACATAGTAAGACCATTTTCCTCATATTCAAGTAGTTGTATGCGTTTGGTAGTTTGTATAAAACTTTGAGGATGTTAAAAAGCTCAGGGACGATTCTATCGAGGAGACAGTTGAGAAGGAATAGTTCTATCCAGTGAGTTGAAGACAGCCATGATGTCAACAACAAATAGTTGTTAAACTGTAATACATATGGCGGTGTTCTAACAACTGACGAAAAATGACTGATTTGTCCACGACCTGAATAAAACTAAGCCTGTCTTCGGGAATCAATGTTTGGCAAAGCCTGTGGAGTACAACAGTGGCTAATATTTTTGACTCAACTGATTACTAACAACTGTCACATGTATTATTTAGGCCCTTCCCAAAAATGGTCACCTAATTTGATGGCGGTATTGTAAAAATTACTGATGGATTTAAGTCAATAATAGTGGTTAGAGATGAGGTTGCAGGAAAATAAGTTTATCTCTGCCGTAATATTTTAATGTTGGGTGTGTTTAATTCTTCGATTGTCTGTAGGTACTTTTTGGAATTGTTCGATATCTCTTGTACAATAATCATTACATTTAGTTTGATGTTTGAGCTTTGCTGAGAAGTCTTTCTATACAGTTGTGCGAAACACTGAAGCAGTTCCCAATGATATAATGATGCTTTGTTGTAATTTTTTTCTAACTAGGACTACAAGTGGTCAGCAATCTACAGTTCCTGTTACTAATAAAGAAATGGAAGATACCAAAAATGTTACACTAACGGTATGTTTTCCACTCCACCTACGAAGTTGTTAAACATATTTTCCAACTCAGAAAACATTTAATGCCTTTCTTATACGTTTGTCCTATGACTATCTGTCATATCACCAGAGATATTTGTAATTCTTAACGTATGAAGCGTGATCTGTTGGATTGAGCATACGACGTTCTGACGCAGCTCACATTTTGATTACTTCAACCTGAACGACCGGTCATTGTCATAACCAGCACACACGTCTTAGAGTAAAAATGCCTGTGCTGGCAAGTTACACAAAAATATAATTCACTATGCATAAGCTTCCTATAGTCTAGATATGATTACGAGTCCCGTAGGCCTATTCAGCGTATATCATCAAGTGTTATAGGTAGACTAATTCAGTCTGTCTAGTAGCACTGACGGTTAGAGTTACTAACGCTCCTATCTTATGCATCCAGGCCTTCTGACATCTGTTCCGCGCCTTAATATATAATGTTTCACAAAGAAAAAATTTATCCAAATTTGCTTTGCTTTCCTCCTTCTCTAACTCTTTCAATGCCTCATTTCTTATAGCAAAGAGTCTTTTCGCCTCGTCATCAAGCCAAGGACGACCTGAAGAAAGAGATTTGGTTTTTTTTCCTTTTTTCTTTAGTACATCTTCTAATGCAGTGTACAAGTTACATAATTCATCCTTATCCAAATACTTAACTTGTGCAAATATTTCTTTTCCACTATCAGCTTCAGAAGAAGCCTTTTCATTTGATGATTCAGTTTCATTATTTGCTTCATTGTTAATTTTTTCTTCGCTCACTTGTGAAGTAGTACATTCAAGTTTGGACACAAGATCTCCGGTAACCATCATATCCCAAGGTTGTGGGTAACGTACTGATACACAATTATTTCGAAACATACTACCATTTTCGTTTTCAATTACACTTTCGGCGGCTGTAGAGTTTTCAAACTCTGCAAATATTAACTTTTCATAAATAGATAAACGTTTAATAGCTCCATATGGAGCTAACCACGCTCTCAGTGAATCAGGTTTCAAATGATGAGCATTTCTTACACCATCGATGACAACAGTGCACGAATCAGTCATGTTTCTCAACATCAAACTTGAAATGTCACTATATAACACTGTGTGATTTATCAAAATAAAATCTTATCCATATTGGAGTCACAACCCAATTTGTCGTCTACTTCCGTTAAGCCATGTTGAATGCATAAACGTGAACAGACTAGTTTGCCATCAGAGTTCCTAAACTTAAATGTTATGACATCGTGAAAACAATCAACAAACAAGTAAAGAATTCATTGGCTGCAACTTTTCCTACAGTAGAATTGATTGTTAAGTAGTACTAAACCATACGATCACTAGCCATCTCAACACAAGTGAATGAGTAACTTTTCTCACTCCAGCTCCACTACACAAAATAACAATTCACTTACAGTTGCTGACGCAGATATATTGAATTTTAATAAGAAGAAGAGTGTAATCAACGTGTTCCGAAAAGAAAATCGTTACGAGAAAGTATCACTTTGAACAGCTTTGTCGTTTCACAGCATTTGATTGCCAAAGGATATTTACTACTTTGAATTCTTCCGAAAATATAATCAAACAAGTTTAATTCTTCTTAAGTTCTCCGGTACTACGACCACAAAACACTTACAATCTGATTATAAGTGTACACAAAAAAGGAGGCCGATTAAAGCCTACACAATAAGAATAACTCAAATTTATTTCAATGAGCTTAATTATATACATATATATATATATATATATATTCATACATATTTCACAAATTTTAATTGGTGTCTTTTCCTAATAACTCATGGTAGTATTATATTTCTGCTGAAACGGAGTATTTCAAACTCTGAATGTAACCACATATTTTGCTACTCCAGCTGCAAAGCAGATGCGTTGGGTGCTAATTCATTTAACAATACCAATGAATACAACAGGGACTGAACGAAAAGTTGCTGAAAACCAATAGTTAAGAGTAGCTGTCTCACAGGCGTGTGACAGAGCTGTGGAAATTAACAAGTAATGACTGTCTAACTTGGCTGGGTTTCAACGTAAAAATTTTCACTGAAATGCAGAAGTTCAGATTGCCATGCTCCATGTGATTAAGGAAGGTAGAGAAGAAATTCAAAAGAACTACGATGAGCGGCGCGGCGAAGACATTTCAAGTTTGATATTGAGAAACATGACTGATTCGTGCACTGTTGTCATCGATGGTGTGACAAATACTTACTTACTTTACTTTACTTCGGCTATCTCCTACGAGAGGATGAGCCGGCTTCATGAACATCTCGAATCATCGCTGCCCAAGCGCGGCGATCTGATGCATGGTTTTGCGACAGGGTTATCCAATTCTTGTTCCACAGACAGAGTCCGTATACGGTTTGTAGCCCCAGGCACTCCATATCAGCCTTGACTGTACCAAGCCATGTTTTCAGCTGTCCACCCCTGCGACATCTTCAAGATGGTAATGGCGAGGGATTCAGAACTGATTTGAGCAGATTGTCATCTGGTCGGCGCAGAACATGGCCAAACCACCGAAGGCGACGTTGTTGGACCAGTACTGGAATTTGGTTGATGTTGTAGCAACGACGACGCACTTCTTCGTTGGAGAGTTTGTCCTGCCAACGAACATGCAGAATGTACCTGAGGCACCAATGGTCTGCTACCTCAAGTCTGCGTACATCTTCCGCGCGAAGAGGCCAGGTTTCACAGCCATACAGGAGAACGGATCGTATGGAGGCTTGGTAAACCCGAATTTTAGTCCTGAGACTGATTTCCCTCTTGCTCCATAGAACGCTCCTCAGCTGAAGAAACGCATTCCGGGCGTTGGAGATTCGCGCATTCACTTCGTTTTTCGCTTGACCGTTGGGAAGCATTATGGATCCCAGATATCTGAAGAATGGCACAATTTCAATAGGTGCTCCATTCAGGTATAAGATTTCATCAGTGCTGGTGGATGTGTTCGAAAACATTTTGGTTTTGGAAGTGTTAATTTCCAAACCGATAGTAGACGCGAGGTGGTTTATCTGATCGAGCGCCTGTTGCATATCGGGGAAGTTTTCAGCTAATAACACGACGTCGTCGGCGAATTTGAGGTCGGTTATGTGAATATCGGGCGAAAGTTGGACGCCGTGGTGCTCGGTTAGGGCGTGCCGCAAAATCCAATCAATTGTGAAATTGAACAGGATGGGGGATGCTGGACAACCTTGCCGGACACCGCTGGTTACCTCAAAAGTGCGAGACTCTTCACCGTTCACTTGGACTCGAGCTTTGGTGTTGGAGTAGTATGACCTGAGCAGGTTGATTAGCTTGGTCGGAACTCCGTCGAGCTCCATTAGATACCAGAATGCTTCTCGATCAACTGAGTCGAATGCCGCTCGGAAGTCGATGAAACAAGCAACCGTTGGCTGTTGGAATTTGTCCCTGTGTTCCAAAATTCTTCGCAGTGTGAATAATTGATCAACACAGCCTCTTCCAGGTCGAAATCCGGCTTGATTTGGCCTTGTTCGCACGTGGCGTTCGGCAGCGAAGCGGTTCAGGAGAATGGAAACAAAAACCTTAGCAGCGATATCAATCAGACTTATGCCTCGGTAGTTCTCACATATTGACCTGTCTCCCTTTTTGTGGAACGGTAGCAAAACTGAGGTGCTCCAATCGGAGGGAATGGTTTCGGAATCCCAAATTGAGCAGAACAGCGAGTGCAGCGAATCGATTAGCGCTGGAGTGCAGGCCTTGTATATTTCTGGAGGTAGACCATCTTCGCCCGGAGCTTTTTGGTTTCTGAGTCTGTTAATTGTTTTAGCTATTTCGGTTGGAGTGGGTGGATCGCAGTCAACTATGTAGGGTGTTGGTAAGTGTCGTATCGGTCGATGAGACGGTTGACCAGCGTTGCGATTGAGTAGCTGCTTGAAATCTTCGGCCCATCGTTCCATCTTACCATTGGTGTCCGAAATAATTTCTCCTGATGCTGTGCGTAACACAGCATGGCTGTTAAGGCGTTTGCCAGATGATAGGCGTATGAGGCGATAAAGTTTTCCGAAATCGCCTACATTTGATGCTCCTTCCATGTTAGTCGCCACATTAGACCAGTAGCGATTTCTGTCATTCCTAGCAGACTGTGTAGCTTTGCGCCTGAGGGAGCGATAAACTGGAGACTTTGCTAGGCGAGCGTCTCTGGCTTGCGAGGATAGATGCATAGTGTACTCTGAAATCCAGTCTTTCTGTTTGTTGGATGTGGTACCCAAATGCGACATTGAAGCTTTAGAGACTACTTCTTTGAAATGATTCCATCGTGTCTCAGGTGTATTAGAAGATGTGGATGTTGGCTCATCTGCGGCGCTTAGTTCGGCCTGGATTTGTTTGGACAAGGCTTGTCGCTTTATCGAACATTGAAGCGGGGCAACATTGATACGCTTCGGAGGTCGCGCCTTCTGGCGTGTTGTTAAACGAAGTTTGAATTTCGCCCTAACTAGAGTATGGTCTGATCCCCCTTTATTTCCGGCCTCTGCGCCACGATAGGATCGGCAGTCCTCCACCGAGGAGATCCAGCGTGAGCGCACTAGGATGTAGTCAATCTGATGTGCAGTGCGACCGTCGTTCGAATACCAGGTGAGAAGATGTTTTCTAGGGTGTTGAAATCGAGTGTTGGTGATGTATAATCGATTGTAATCAGAAAAAGCTAAAAGTCTATCACCATTACGGCAGTGTTGATCGAGACCGTGTTTGCCTAGTATATGTTTTGTCGCGTCGTCTGAAGGGCCAGTGCGGGCGTTCCAATCGCCGGCTACTATGAGAACGTCACGCTTTGGGATTTTGTTGATTGCCTCTTGAAGATTGTCATAAAATTCGTCTTTGATACTTTCATCAGAGTCGAGGGTTGGGGCATAGACAGCGAGAACAGAAATGTCGAGCGGGGAACCCTTGAACCTAGCGATTGCAACTCTGGAGTTGACCGGTTCGAACGATATTAAGGCATTATTGGCTTTGTTACTGAGAGCAAATGCTACCCCATGTTGTCCGGAATTATTCTGGGGTCCACTATGAAGCAACCAGAATGAAGAATCTGTTCCAGGTACGGTTATTCGGCGGGAGCCATGATCGGGTAACCTCACTTCAGATAGA